CAGTTAGTATGAGCCATTCGTTCATTTTTATGATTTTAATGTTACAATTTTGCATAGAACAAACTGGTTTCTCGCATATCCGAGTACTTACAACAGTACCTGATAACACTCGAGTATCTCTCACATCCGACCCGTGTCAGTTTCTAACGCAAACGATCTTATAACCCGTAATAACAACAACGCGTTCTATCCGGTAAAATATCAACGATACAACAATACACGACACATTTTATAAACGAACAAGTTAAGGACGGTCGGAGACACCGTTTGTAACACCAAAAGGGTGTCGTTTAAAAAACTTACGATAATATCTGTGTAATTGTTCCAATAGAATACGGCCTCAGTGTCTTCTTTATAGTTATCCACGCACATAAACTCTTTGCTGTCTAGTAGTCGACAAGGTCTCTTCTAAAAAAGTGGATGAACGTTTTATTGCCACTTTAATCATCCACTAGATTTTCCTTAAGCTGCTTAAATTTTGCTCTCTTTAGTGTAGTAGTACTGATGCTTTCTATACAAGACAATCACATGGCTCGATAGGGATCAATTGCAGTAAAACTATTCTTACACCATCGTTAAGATCGATAAAAAATTTAACAAAATACAGATATTACAATATTTCCAGTAAACATTATTAAAGGATGCATTATCGGACATCTCAAATGAACAATACAAGGAAAAATCATTACAACCACTGCACGTAATATCGTTGAAACTTTTGATAAAAAATGGTGGTACTACTGTTAAAATTCAAGTACCTCTGCCACTACTTTAGACCCATTCCCACTTAGTAGCTCCACGGGATAAACACAAACCACAGATAGTCGAACATACTCACACGTGGTACAATTGTCCATGATCGTCGCAGATCATCGACTTTGATAGCAATACAAGTGATGTTATTCAAGGTGGCGTTAGAGCCATTGTAAAATAGATTATTTATTTTTGAAGTTGGCAAAAATTCTCTCATTTCGTAATGAGATTTGGAAGTACCTAAGTTCCTTTTGTAGATAGACAATTTCTACAATTCAAGCCGTTTTGAATGAATATAAAGAATTATTAGAAGATATTGATAGGATACATTCAGGAAAAGGTTTCTTTTGAGTTTGATAAAATGTGAATAAGAGCAAAGTGATGCAGATACACTTAGCAATTAATTGGAATTCCTGTTGCTACAACAGCTAAATTTATTAATTTAACAGAATTCCGTGAATACAACTACTAGATAAATCGGCGTCGAACAATTATTATCAATAAAACGAGCTGTTTGGACGGGTTGCCTACGTGACGAGTGTTGTACACGATTCTCCACAGGGGAGGTACAATTGGTTTTCGATACCATCTAGCGAATTTATGGGCGAGTCTAGCTGCCGTGTCGAGTACTTCTGTGATTGTGTCAATTGTTAATTAGAAGCCGAAGCTTATCGCAACACCGCCGCGTTTATTCCGTACCCTAGCTGCCTCTATTTACTATTTTACCTTGTGAACTGTAGCCAGGCTAATTCTCTAACGTAAATCTGACGTCGCGGTGCGCGGAGCACAAGACCGGGCAATATATACCGAAGAGTTACAGGTTGCGTGGAAATATTGCATAATCTCCTACGTGGACGTGTTGTACACGTCTTGGTTGTGCGATTATTTATTTCAGGCATTTGGTACAGTAACGGATTCCACAAGAGCACCAATACATCCTTAATAACTTCGAAATGATACTAGATAACTATGATATTAATATAAGTACAACTAACGCAAATCACATTTCTACCAACTTCATCTAAGTTTATCATCTTTTTAGTTAGTGTAAAGGTAATAAAAATATATTTATATATTGTATTAGACATCATATTGAAACAAAATTTGAATGAGGCCGACTCTGCATCCATCTTCGAGTATTATTTATTCGAAGTGGTGTGTCTTTTTCGCTGATGCTGTGCCGTTTGCGTGAGATCAATCATTCGGGCTGGTGTCTGTCGTGATCGGAGAACATTCGCGTGCAGATTTATTCCAGTGACGGGAAATAATTGTCTTTATTTAACGAGGGGATAAACTTCGGCGCAGATACCGTGCATGACAGGTACCTTCAGATTCTGGACGAGGTGGCGGCGCACCCACGCGAAAATATGGTAATTTTCTTCGATATTGTATACGGTGGGTTATTTAGGATTCATCTCGATTGGTAACCAGATGTTTCAATTTGTCTTCGATTGTCAAACAACTTTATTTTCGCACATTTTTATAATATGTTTGCAGAATTTATTTTTAAAAATTGCGGTGAAAACCATTTCTAAAATCTTGGAAAAGCTAATCTATAAACCTAAACAGTAACATTATACAAATGTACTAAACAGTACATACATAAACATCATGGACAAGCAAAGACATACAATTTATTTTATCTACACATAACTGGTAACATTAAAATGTTCATTACCATATAAATTTTATCTAATCTTTATCTAATTACCGTCTCATATTAAATTACGAGTTCGTCAATTGTACCATTGTACGCTGAAAGTACCCGCACTTACTTGAATACATATAATTATACGATCGGCTAATCAAAATAAGTTAAATCGTCGATTTTATCTATCGGCTGATTAATTGGTTTTGTGTAATGGAGGTGTTTTACATTCACTTATTGCAGCTACCAAGTTTTATCAATTGGAATTCGATATCTTACCAAGCTAGTTTGTTTCTTAATTTACTTTTACTATAAATACAACGACTTTTCTTCACTATACCTTGCACTAAGTACCTACTGTTAGTGTTTTCAAATTTCTTCCCCTTTCATTGACTCCATATTAACTCGCTTTTTCCTCGCTTATGGTTGAGTTTCGCTTTTAGATTAACGAGTGTATTTGCTAGTTGATAAATAGTAGAGCAAATTTTGCAATACACTTGGAGCGAATCTTTGAACAACATCATAAACAGGTCGTTTAAAACCGTGTGAGAGAATGTTTCTTTTTAATATTTTCAGTATGTAGATAATTTGTCTCTATGTCGCACCTGCATAGACAAATGTACTACCTGTCGGTGAGCTTGTTTAAAAACTGTGAACGATTCAATTCTTGACATTCCCTGCATGAATAATATATTCTCGGGAAAATGGAATTATGTATTATAAACGTGGGCTGGACCGCGCTCATTGTATAATACGCATTTTGAAAGATAACCGTATAAAGCGTAAACACGAATTTATAAAAAAGCTATGACCGACTTATTTAGGCTTTTAATCTATGGATATTTCAGATATCTCGATATCTCAGTTCATAAATACAGCCAGATAATGACCGAGACCGGCCTATAATGAACATCCGTATTGATGGCGTGATAAAACAAAGTGGAAGCTTCAAAGACACAGTAATAAAACAAAGCTTTTGAAAAAAGAACTGTTATCTGGACGAACCGCTGTTAGCGACGATGTTACTCCTATATTTAATTTGTTTTGATTAATTCCATCGATTTTATCGACATTACGGCTATTTGTGCCCGACGATTAATATTTCAGTTGTGCGTTAGATCGTAAAATATTTCCACTTAAGCATTTATTACCTGTTGTTATCGGAGATGCGCAGTTTGCTTGATGAGATATTAAGCTGCCAAATTAACTATTAATTTAATTTAATTCAACTGATTTTGCTTTAATTTAATCTATTTTGAGGTGACCTAGTTAACTATTACTTAACATTTACTATGTGTTTAACTATGAATTAATTACAAAATTTAATTCGTTGAAGTTGATGTAGCAATTTTTCATACAGCACCCACGGATGGAAAGGTCCAAAGTGGTCGAGTATCCAAGCTCCTTCGAAACAAATGTTCAGCAATTGGACACGAAGTCTCATTGATAAAACTAAAACCTTAACATGTAGGGCCTGTCGTGGCCGCAGCAACAATTAATTTTTTTGTCTCCGCGACCGATGAATAATAGCGCTACTTGTGTAAACGATTTAGAAAAATGATAAAACACACCATTTAAAACGGACATTGATTGATTTGGGACCAGGTCGTTGGAAGTGGATTTAATTAGCACCTTTTGGAGATGTTATCTTAAAATAAAAAAAATTGAAAATATGTTTAGGCCGGATTTTATCTGCTAATGTATTTCATAAAGGTAATGATGATCCGATCATAATGACGGACGCTGGCAACTCTTTTTAGTTTAAAGTACACGCATTTGTTGCTAGAGAGTGAACTGGTTTGATTTTACGTTCACGGATTAACTAGGCAACAGTTATAGAAAATAGCGGGTATCTTTAAAAAAAGTATAACTAACTAGTTACTTTTATCTCTGATTAAATTGTAATATTCAAACCGTTTTTAATTCTGCTTTCAAAACCACAAAAATTCCTTCGGTTAAACTAAAAATAGTACACGCTTTTTAACGAAATTATACCTTGTCAAAGAACATCTGCTAATGAATAAAAATCTTCGGAACCAAAACACCAATTATTAAGGATGCCACAGCAAAAAAAAATACAACAACCTTCCATTGCATTGCGCTATTTTCTCTCTCGCCGTCCAATTAACAAAAGGGAAATCCTATATGTTGAATGCATAATTTATGCCCGCAACAACAATGCGTCACGTGACCGGACCCCTTTTAAAATCCGACATACCGAATCAAACCTGCCATGGGATCATTAACGGTTCGTCAGGTCGCAAAGTACACATGTCATGACGTCAGCTGAAACCGACCAATCGCCGGAGCCGCGTTATTTACTAAAACAATGCCAATGGGCGGAGGAACGTTACGTCTTCGTGCGTTAAACTGCGGTCGTTATACCATCGTACACCAACCAAATGTTACTTGGTTTTTTTGGTCTGGGTTTTGCGAGGAGGAACCATTGTTGCAAATTGCACGTACTCGAACAGGATGTGGCAATTGAGGATACGGCGAGGAATCGCCCTATTAATTCGATTTACGCTTAGTTACCGCCAGGAATACGACGCAATATTAAGTTAGAGAACTCCAATTGGATTGTATTTAAAGATACTCATGTAGACAGAAAATTTAATTACACAAACTTTAAACTATTAACACAATTACAACATAACTTATTAAACTAATGAATGAATTTATCCCGATTCTGTTGGTAATTGTCCATAACTGCACGGAATCATGCTGCTGTACTCCAAGACTCCGATTCCGAATAACTGGTCGCCGTTCCCCAAGGCTTCTTCTATGTTTTTCATGCAATCGCAGGTAAGGGGGTTCCTCTTAAGAGAAATTGATTTGGTGGAACCCCTGATGTCGTCAAGAACATCATCTGGCAAGCAACTCAAATAGTTATCGTCCAAATTTATGGAGCTGTGAGCGTTTAATCCGAAGTATAGGTTGGATATTGCGTCGAATTGGTTCTGGCGTAAATTAAGTATCAAGGGATTTGTGAAATCGAATACTTTAGGATCTGCGTCTTCGATTACGTTGTAGGCTAACAATAGTTCTATAGGTTCGTTGAACGATGGTTGAAGTAGAGGAAAATTCCCTTTTTCTATCGTCCTCAATATGTTGAAACTTATATCGATAAACTGTAAATTTGGTGTACCAGTGAACGCAGCAGGTTCGAGTGTCAGTAGTGTATTCCTATCCAAATGAAGTTTTCTTAGATTTTTCAGATTTTGGAAGGCTTCAACTTCTATCGTATGTATAACGTTTCCTGACAAATACAATATTTCCAAAGAGGGAATGTTATTGAAACTGCCGTTTTCTATAACGCTAAGATTGTTTACCGAGAATGCCAGTTCTCTCAGTTCAGGCACACCTGAGAACGAATTAGGTTGAATTCTCGACATGTTTACGTTAATCAACGACAGCACTTGTAATTTCGGAAAATTCTTTATCATCCCCTCGCAAAGTTCCGTCACGTTGGCTTTCAACACATCAATAGCCCCGTATCGATCCAACAAATAAAAGTTCACATCTTTATGAGTAAAACCGCTGCTTTTCTTCGTGGCGCGAACTCTTGCAGTTACATTGCTAAGTGCATCTACATCGACGCAATAAAGTTCCACGGAACAAACGCAAAACCCCAAAAATAAAATGAGGACGCTCGACTTCGCGTTCGACATGGTTTCCCATTAACTAACCTCGTTCGAGCGGCTCGAACGAAAATTTTCTCAAAATTCGAGAGATAAACTCCGGGGGCAACAGGTCAAGAATGATTGCTGTCGATTTATCAATCGACCTTTTTCAACGTTAAATCGAGGCAATAGATTGATCTAATTTCCACGGAACGAACGAGATTTGCTACACCGAGTTGGTAAACATTAAATTGACGATCTGTTAAACGCGCGTTTCTTTGAACAGCCTCCGCCAAAGGCTTTTTCATCGCGGATTCCTCAATTAAACCATTTGCTCGCGAAGTCACGCGTCGCTCCGTAGGTGGTGCGTTTGCGGTCCGTTATTTTCGCCGGGTGCGAAGCTTCGAGGAGCGTCGAAAACGGCAAACCGTATTTACAACACTCGCCTGCGTTTTATTTTTACGTCTGCAACGGCGACGTTAAAGTGGATCGTAAATGATTAGCGGATCCGGTTTGAATAGATTTTTACGTCGAAGTCGCTTAAAGCGAATGCGGATTTACACCAAATCCGTTTTAGAGATACAAGTGAGCTGGTGTATGTAGAAGGTGTAATAAAATAAATTAAATACCGATTTTTTTAATAAGATAAACTCAAATTATGCACCCTGGGATATATACTGAGTGACAAAAGTAAAAGAACACCAAAAAATTGTTGTTGAAATTTAACCATTTATTCTAGTTACATGTATAAGAGAAAAATAAACAAATGATTAAAATTAATTCATCAAATTAACAACGAAACTTAAAAAAAATTAATAATGTGTTGCACCATTGTGCTGCTGTACACACTCTCTACAGTTTGAATGAAAAATAAAATTTGCTTCTTGGTGTTCTTTTACTTTTGTCACTCAGTATAAATAAAGTGAGAATGGAGTGTAGTAATTTTGATCTGGCACAGTTCAATCTAGTCTAAAGCATTATAATGGAGAAATGCACGCCGGTCCAAGTAGGAAACGTTGATGGATATGAATATTCATGATATTCAATTTGTTAAATAATCTAAAAGCCGTCGCCTTATAGTACCTCGTTAATCAGTTCTAAAAAGCTAAAAACTTGGTCGCTGTCGAAGATAAATGATGCAATTTGACCACAAAGAGGAGAATGTATTATGAGAGGAAATGGGTTTCCTTGTGCTCGGCTACGAGATTATAGACTTTCGTAACTTTCGTTTAATAAACGAAATTAGGCAATGTTGTTAGGAAGTTGAAACAAATTACTATAACGTTTAGATCTTTCCATAACCACTTTTATTTAAAACAATGTCAATATCTCTGGTAATACTAATCATTCATAATTCATTAAGTGTATAATTTCGCATTTCACTAAATATTCTTGGTACTAATACCTGTATCAATTACAATTCCTAATGACCTACCTCCTGGCATTCCCTTTTACTATAATAACACGTTTTTTAGACGTGACTTCCTTTCTTCATTATTAAATGCTGTCATTAATCACGGGAGACGAGTTGTTAAACAAAAACTTAGTTCTAAGCTCATTATATTTACGAATATTAAAGCTCGACTGGGGTGAAACAAAGGCGACCGGGTTGGTGAACATTTTTGTCGAAGGCGCGCTTTTCATGGGAATAAATTTCGAAAAATAAAAAAAAAACAACGCCTGCCGTAATTAGAACGATCCGGAGGATCATTTCGAAAGTCATATAGGCTTCCTTTATCACCTCATTAATGCGCGCAACAGTTGGGTGGACGGCCGTTCTGGCGGAAAATATTTCTATTCACTGTCCACGTCTATCCGTTTCGGTGAAAAAATTGATTGAAAGGGATCTGCGGCGGTTATTTTTGTTATTAATTCGTAGGTGGAAGAAGTTTACACCCCACTTCCTTTCGTCAAATAATACGCCAATTAGGGTCAATTTATTTCTATTATATTGCTAGAGTTAATTAGACAGGTGGTGTTGTTAATAAGATATGCGCGAATACCTAAAGATATAAAAATTTATGGCTTCTCCTTGTGGTTTACAAATGTACAAAACCAAAAAATTTACTGTAAAAAAATTTGCAATTAGTAATTTATTTTTAAAGTAAGTAATACCTACAATCTCGCAACGATTTAAAACAGAAAAAGGTAACGAGCTGGTAAATATAGAGGCAAGTCAACTTGAATGCCGATTTTGGCGAATTATGTATTCACAAGCCTAATTGCGGGTACAAAAATGAATAAGTCACGATTTTTTCAACAATTTCAGTATGTATTTTATCAACCCATCATTAGATCTTCCTTCTTGAGCATACAATGATTTTCACAAGCAGTAACGAGACGAGCTAGGTTATTAAAATTGCTGCTTCTCCCAGAACGTTGTTACATTAAAAATCTGATTTAATTAGACTTATTAGTAAATTTCAAAATACTCTTTTTTGTATATCGAATAGTATATTCTCTTCAATTATATCGTAGATGTGAAGACACTTTTTTAAGCACTTTGATTAGATACAAACAAAAATTATACTCGCAAAACAATAACGATCGATTAGATATATTAGATAAATGGCAAAGTGTTAATCCGAAAATGTAATGACCGCTTATTATTACATTACGATCTCCGTGTATTTTATTCCGATTTTATCGCCATCGCCAACCTATTATTAACTGGATTTATGTATAGCAACTTTTATATACGATGTTTGTTGTTGATATTGTTCGTAATTATTTTTAAATGTGCATAATTACGGAGTAGCCGTTGTTCCTTATCAAAAATTGCCGGTTGGTGTGCTCGTTCCTTCGAACATTATTGGAGCAATGAGAAACCCGAACTCATCCGGCAGTGGCTTTTTCCAAAAATTAATGAATCTATCAAAATCACACCACCATTTGGTTTCAGTTATCTCCTCTACTAAAAATTATCTTCCTGTGCTACCTATTTTAGGATTAAATGCAATTAGTCATTTTCCTTAGGTTTAATTATGTATAAAAATCGACGAAAATAAATGATAAAAATTCTGTTACGCCACTGTGGAAACGTAGGAGAACGAGATTTGATGGATCGATTTCTTTTACTGTTATAACTGTCGGGAAATTTTCCTGAAGAATAAGCATTGTTGATGAGGGAGGGCATAACTGTACAGGTTAAAGCATGCGTTTTGCACAACTGCATCCTTACGAGATTACATGTAAAGGCCGATGGAGAGATCTAGATATTTGCTTTACAGAAATGAATAAGTACCTACTCAAAGCGAAACGAACGGAATGCAAGTGAAATGTACCATTACGCGAGTATTGCTAAATAAATATGTGTAACCTATAAAATTTGTTTAAAGTTAAAATTTCATAAAAAATCGACACAAAGAAACATACTAATGCTCATAAATCTCGATTTTAATTTCCATGTAAAAATTCGACGTCTATTTTATATTAATTTCTCACAGTTAGTTCTTCTGTTGCCTTTAGTGGGACCGACACCGTGCAATTTACATGTTTTATGATCTATAAGATAACCGATCCGTTCTGGTCCATAATTAAAATCACAGGTTAATTTCTAGAATAATCTACCCTATAATTACGGCGCGAAAAAAACAAACACCCTTGTTTAGTTTAGATTTATGGCCTCTATTAAATCATTTTCTTAAAAGTCGGATGATAATTAAATTGCGATCTATTCAGAAATTGTCCATTTCTTAGAATTTTTCGACGGACAGTATTAAAAAATTTTACCAATATTTATTTAGATATTTACCATCATTTAACTCGACTCCCACTTGTTATTTACCTGCAAAATTACGGACGGTTAATTATTTAACCAGAAGAATTTATTATGGAAAAGAAACGATTAAAAATCAATTTCCATTTCGTTATTGGAATTACGCGCAATAACAATTCAGCTCATCGGATCTGGTATCCTTGTTAAAACCTATAAAATTAACTTAAACTAACTTTGCTACCGTCGATTGCTCGACAAGTCCCGAATAAAAAAAAACGTTGATTAAAATTTTAATCGCTTCGTTAATCTTTCATGTGCGTTACGCCCCTCTCTATGCAAAACAACTCACCCTGAATTGATTGGCTTTTAAGTATTTTAATTAATTATTATTTATGACGTTTGGACGAGCTTTTCGAATACGAACGCCTGTTACCTACCTTCAATAATTGCTTGAGATTCAATTCAGTATAATGAAGGAGAATATTTTTAACAATGTATAAGTAAACAGTGGATTGTTTTATATTGGTTTTTATTTATTAAATTAGAGGTATTTTTTGTTAATTTCGAGAAACGAACACACAAGTAGAACAATGTGCATAATTCAAATAGCCATTTAAGACTTCAACACTTCGACCTGTTAACGATTAAACGTGCTAATTACAGAAAAGATATGTGGCAACTTGTTCTATTAATTAATGTCGTTTTTGCGCTTTTACTCCTTGACCATATCCTTCGGTATAGCATTTTAATAGGTAAAAACGCTTATTGAATAAAATTCCGATTGTTCGAATAGAATTTACGCGACATACATATCTGTTTATTTTCCATCGACCAACCGCATGTTTCGGCAGCAAAAAGAAGCACGACATTTTTAATTGCCCAAAGAAATCATTAAATAACAATAAATAAGTACAAGCACAAATACAGTTTAATTCATCGATGGGGTATTTTGAGTATATCGACGTCTACTTATTTGAATAAACAGAAGGCACGGATTGGTAGAGCAGGAGCTTATCGTAATATGCATATTATGATAAGAATAACCAATAAATATCCGAAGACACACCTCTTCAAATCTTCACAGAAGCAGAATGGTAGCCGTGAACTTGAAGGCGGGTCAATGAATTCTTTAATTACTATAAGTCGTCGCAGTTGAAAGCGGAACGATGGACAGACGTTTTTAAACGACCACCATTAAAATTAAACTCATTTGTCAAAAATTAATAGCAGTATTTATTTATTGATTACACAATTTATATCGGAATTGCCAATATTACAATGTAGCTACTTGTGTCTAATTATCTGTGATTAAATAAAATGGTGTATGAAGTGTTAAATTGGATAAAAGTATTACTAATATTATAGATAGTAAAGATTATATGTATATTAGATTTTAGATTCATCCGTGAATATTTCAAACTGTATGAAATGTACTGCTCCACAAATGTTAAGGAAGTTGACAAATATTGAGATTAATTTAAAAGTTGCAGGTTTTTTGATCGCCAAATTTAGTACGAGTTGTAGAAGTAGGGGCAAAAAATCCACTCAGATATGAGAGAAAACATTTAATTTCGCATATTTGAAAATTTGGTGATCAAAAAGTCTGTAACTTTTAAAATAATCGCAAAATTTGCGAACTTCCTTAACTTTTGTGGAGCAGTTTAGTTGTTAGTTCAAGGATAGCGTAATGGAATTGTATCAATGAGGAAAAATGGAGAAAGCGGGGTTCTCTTGCAAAAGAAGGCGATAAACATATTTTGCAGAGATGTACTTTTGTCAATTAAGAAGAAATTGCAATTGCATAACAAATTTGGAGATGACTGATATTATTATAAAAATATTCCCAAAGAGAGTGTATGTGTATTTCAAAAAGCTTTTCAAGCTCCACAAAGAGTTTGATAATAGAAGATTTATCATTGGATTGTCTCTATAAAGGGAAACTTTGGTACCAAACTCATCTCTTTCTGCCAATTACACACCTATCTAGAGTAAATTTAATCGCACATCAAATTTATTAATTTTTCTATCGTTGCAAAATCCGCAAATCCCACGAAGAAACTGCAAGCCGACCCTGGGCTTCGATGAAATGTTAATGGTTCGTGGCATCTCTCCATTATTTTAATTGGGGCTCCGGGTAATTACAGCGTCTGCTCCGGTGATTATGGACTAAACAAACACACGAACGTCATGAGAATACCGACCGGCCATAACTCGACGAAGGAACGATCGACGACGGCTTTGTATTTTGTAATGTCCGATGCAAATTGGGTGCATGTGCAATGCAAATTTCTTTCGGACGATGAAGAAGAGAGAACGGCCGAAAATCGGCTGTATTAAAATTTTTACTGGTTATAATTTTCGGGTGAAAATAGAACGAATAGTGTATGTGCTATCACGACTGGTACACCATCCAAACACCCCAGAAATCCAAGAAAAAGGGGCTTTTTTCTCTTGGGTTATTTTGACGGGACACAGGGATGCTGGGACTCGTAATTACATTTCATTGGGACCTCTGGATTAACTGATTTATTTATTACTTATATACAGGATGTTCCTAAACATCGTGTACATCCGAAAGGGGGTGATTCCTTGATTTTTTTTATGACTAAAACTTCATATAAACGTGGGTCTGCAAACGCTTCGATAACGTTCTACAGGGTATTGAAATTTCAAGACTTTTTTTTTTTAGAGCTCCTGGAGTTTTTGAGATATTTAACTCAAATTAGGTATAGGATATAGGGTATAGAGTATAATTTGAGTAGGAGGGGGTCACTTTCAATATTTATTACAATGTAATTTAATAATTATTATTTAGGGTTTTTGTTTTGTAAAATAAATCGTTTGGACAGAAAATCATTTTTAATTTTTTTCTCGATAACGGTCACAGAAACGAAAAAAAGTTTAAAAAATAAAAAAGTTTCTAAACAAAACAGACAAATAATTTTGTATTTTAGAATCAACCAGCGGCGCACAGCAAAAAAGTACGGGTGGAAAAAAGGGTACAAAAAGTGCAGGAGCTACAAAGAAAAAACAAAAAAAAAATGAAATTTCAACACCCTGTAGATCAGTAACGAAGCGTTTACGGACCCACGTTTATATAAACTTTTAGTCATAAAATAAGCCAAGGAATCACACCGTGTACACCCTTTCGGATGTACACGATGTTTAGGAACACCCTGTATATTTATTATTCTAGTATAAGGGGATAGCTAATAATGATTAATTTAAATGACCCGCCCGTTCGTCAGACTTAAAAGTCTTCTAGATTAATCAATTTTATATCAACATATTTAATTAACACTACTTTTTCATAAGCTTTTAATGGATCATCGTCATAACACTGTATAACATTGTTGTAAGAGGAATGTAAGTAGCGTAAGTTATGCAACTGCAATTTGAAATTCCGAAGCGATATTATCCAAAGAATATTTTTTTGCATAAAACCCGCCGACCGTACAGAGTTCCCCTAACACAATTAAAACGGTTTACTGCCTCGATGGTATCTGCGGCGCTTATTAAATTCCAAAATGTAAATTGTTATTAAGTCATTACGGAAATTAATTATGAATGATTGTGGTGGCAGTTAAACGGAATAATCCCAGTAGGTGGTAGGACGCCTACTCCGATTCAAGCTTATTCCCATTCAGCTGCTCGTCAGTTTTATAGTTTTCACGGCTCACCGTCGATGTTTGTTTGATACGAGATGATCCCCGCTTCCTCTTCGAAAGAAAAATTATACCTTTGTTTCGGTTATCCGCTTTATTAGCGTGAAAGTTATTAATGGTTTAAGAGATGATGCGTGGTAAAATTAAACAAAAAATACCTCTCGTTCTCGGCCGACAGAAAATTCTGGTTTGTGATGTTCAGAAGATAGGAGGAATGCCTAAACGCACACCTACTAAAATGCTGCATTACATTGTTAACAAGTGAGAGTAAACGAAAAATTAAAATAAAAAGGATTGTATAATCGGTGCATGCATATAAGAGAGCCTCGAAAATCTCTCGCTTTTGCCCAAGAATCAACAGAATCTCCGCTAATAACAAAGGAAGAAGCTCGTTCTGGAGATAAAGCGAGTTATTTCGTATTTCAACAAAACGAGCCCGGCCATCATCATGTATAATTAGCCGACGGCTATCTAATAAATTATGATGTTAACGTTTTATAGGAAACGTACAACTTTGATTTATTTCTTCGAATAGACGTACGTTTTATAAAACATCTTAACGACGTTCAGGATTATTTAGTTATTGCTATAAATTTCAGTTTGGCTATTTGCTTTCGCTAACTAATGGAAATTGACCTTTAACTCTGCAATTTCATCGAACCAATCCAATGGAATTTCAGATGCTTTAAAAACCGATGTAATGATTAATGCCATTTCGGTTTTTTAGTAGGTTTACGAGTATTTGCTCATCTGAAAATGTTATTTAATATATTATACAGATAAATGCAAATTTGGTTATGGAGTAAAGAAGTCCCTGGTTGTCCCATTTCTGTGGAATATTTTTTCTAGAAGATGCTGGACGTTTCTAAAGTTTAGTTCAAATATAGACTTATTTCCCTTTAATATGAAAGTGTATAGGGTGATGATAAATAGAAGAAGTATCATCTGAACTAAATAGGTCTGTTCCCTAAAGTACTAGTGTAGACAAATGACGGTCAATGATTTGGTTTATGGAGAGACCACCGCCGGCTCGATTTGATCTCGTAACTAATGGCCGCCTCCTTAATGATTGCAATTGTAATCCCCGTGTTTACTGACTTTAATTGGCCGCGTCAGATGCAGAACAGAGTGTTCGACCGTTGCGTACGAGAATTTATGGACAGCGCCGTCCCGCTAATGGCTCCCACAGGACTGCATTGTCTTTTTCTCCGCCGTCGAAACCGGCGTTTACGGAATGCTACGGTGATGCCAAATATCCCGGTGCTGGTTTCGTCTAGAAAAATTAAAAGAATCCGATTTTGGTGTTCGTTTGATTAAAAGAAACGGACGATGGCGGTGTGCTCGAGACCAGACCAGAGAGCCGGATGCTTTCGGCGGATGAAGGCAGCCCGGTAGAGGTCACGCAGTCCGATGATTTGTCATGTCAGTGTCGTGGTGATGGATGCACTTGGTCCGCTACGTATTAGCATATTGAAAGGCTTTGATTCATGCCGTGGAATCCTGTTGTTTCGAAATAGCGATCGCCGGCCACTTGAAAAATCGGTCGTATTGTTATTTTTATTGAACGATTTTTTTTATATTGATGCTATATTTGAAACCTTTATTGAGCGATATTTAACATAAAATACATGTAGGTACTTTCTACTTAGGACAATCGCTTATTTTCACGCAAGTATCGGATACTTCATCTGTTATATAACCTTCTTCTGCGTTGCATTCGCATTTTTTTATGCACAAACCTCCACAACTTATGCCTTGAGGCGGTTTTGGATTCCTTTGTTGACAAGTTGGAGTTAAGTGGCAAGGTGAAGTGCATATTAACGATTGATGTTTAGGACATGTCACATCTAAAAATTCGATTTGATTTTATAATTGCAATTGCAATTTTTACGCGATTAATAAGTACCTCTGGTAGTTCGACATTGTTCCTTTTTGATGCAAGTGCCGTTCGGTCCCGATCTGATGTAGCCTTTGGAGGCGTCGCATTCGCATCTCTCTACGCAGAGCGTGATGCATGCTGTTCCCGGTTTAATAGTAGGATTGCGATCTTGACATGTCGGTTCACCTTTGCACGCTGAGGCACAAGTATTTTTTACTTCGTTTGGTCCGCATTCTAAAAATAATAAATAGAGTTTGTAAGGGTAGATAAAACCTGGGAAAGAATGTGTTTCTAGATCCCAAGGATCTAGACACAACAAGGACCTTACAACAGCGAGAATCCTATGATCTAGGTTTTATCCTAGGTCCTAGATCTATGAACTAGATCTTATGATCTCCTTCTAGATTCTAGGTGGTTACGAGATTGAAAAGACCTGCCCGCACACAATAACAAGAGGAGTTTGTATGCAGTATTTTTTATACAAGTTACAATTCATACAGTCATTATTACCTAATATTTTCTTCTATATTAATTTAACACTTCCACATATATCTGCACAAACTTACACTGCAAGTTTAGGTACTGTATAATAAAGATATTGATAAGATAAAATGGATAATAAGGGATATAATTTGAAATTACCATCCGTACAACCAAGCCAAGCACAATCAATTAGAGCACTAACTACGAAAATTAAAATTAAAGTCTTCATATTTCTGATTAATGCTACTGACTAGTTCGTGCTTTATATAGGCATTTCCAGAATATGCGTGCGTAATGTATTTTTAATCCCGTTTTAGACGAAACTGATGATCAGGACTGACAATTTTTTGTATAATTCCGCATAATTTAATTTGTTGTTTTCCTACCTGCATAAGCCATCAGTCGTGCTGATTGAATGCCGACTGATGAGACGGGGCTTATGAGTTAATTATGAATTATGTATAGCAAAAACATTATAATAATGATTATGTTGGAGTAAACGTGTTTTTAAGTTATTTGTAAGTATTCCCATGTGATAAGAGTTTAAAAAAAAACTACAGAAATTATTTTTATTTCAATATGCATTTAAAAGCAACAGGTGTATTATTTTAATATGTAGATAATAATGCGTAAACACCTAATTATTTATAAAAAGTGTTATCTAAATTGATTACTTAATATTCCTATGGCAGGCATCAAAACACATATGCAGGTATTTTGCTGTTGTTGTTTTAATAAAAAGTATAGTGGGTGCAAAACAAGTATCAATGCATTGTGTCCAATTGAAAAATAAATACACAAAATAGATTAAGCTTTAATACCTGCAGAATTTAATTCAACGTTTAATCAAAGTTCAACAACTCTATCAAAGTTCGGCAACAGTGCCTACTTGTGACGTAGTAAATTATATGTGACGTGCATTGATATTTGTTTTGCACCGACTGTATATTCGAGCTATTGCACTTATGTTATTCAGTTATTTCATGAATTTTTATTAGTTTTATGATGTATTTCTGGTATCTATTAAGGACTGATAATTATGTAGATAGAAAATGAATCATTAATACACATACATACATATTTTCAAAAGATTATAGGGGAATTTGACCCAACTGAATAAAAAACAACAATTGCAAAATTCGTTTTTATTAAACTTCAAAATGACCTGAATTAGCAATTCAAGTAGTTATACAAAACTATTTAGTTATTTCAAAGACTCTACATTAGATAAAATTTATAAACAAAATAAAAACAATTTTTTATCCTGTACAAAAACCTTTACAAAAATAAATAATGTACATTATTTTGGCAGTGTTGTTCTAGACATTGATCAAACCTAAAATGGTCGATATGATTTTCTCGCCCCTATTGTCATGTACTATATTCAAAAGAGGATCCCGAATTTTCTCCTCCAACAAATTGAAAAACTCCACCCTGATTAGCTTGATCATCTCCGCAATTCCATGTTCCTCTACTTGAAACACCAACCAGCCATCTTCCAACACGATAAAAGTGCTACCACCCTGTACATTAACATTCAAATCGTACGAAGAGAATAGTATCAAAGGCAACACCGGAACCATCGTGCACTCCCTGAAAAACACTTTGCTGGTCTGAATTTTCTCTTGGTACACCAAATAGGGACTGGGAAAGTGTCGCGAGGGGAAATTCACCGAACTGGGATGCATAAAAACCTAAAAAGAACACGTTTAATTTAGTGTCAAAAGACTGGAGTAGTTGAAATTCTCACCGTTTCTTGAGCTGTAGTAAATTTCAAATCTTTGGTTTCGTTTTCTTTGGGAACAGCTCCGGCAGCGCTCATAGTAAACGATTTGGAAGGCGTTAAAATTTTAACCACATTAGGATACAAAGCTGCGCATAAGATAGCCGCCAGCAAACGCATATTCTCTCCGTTTTTATTTAACTATTTAAAAATAAATAACATTTTATAATAGCAATGTACTCGAATTAGAATTTACCTCTGCTCCGGTGATTTCGAACACATCGTCCCATCCTAATCGCTTTCGTGAATTCAAATTAATCGGCACGAAACCAATATCCACCAGCAATTCCAGAAACTGCTTTTTAATATCAGCTATGCTGGTTAAAGTTCGATACGAAAGGAAGTTTTCGTTGGCGAAGTTCCGAGCACCCACAGATGTCTTCTTGTAGAGACTTAAAAATTTCTACAAAAATGATTAATAAGTAAATCATACTGCTCCACAAAAGTTAAGGAAGTTTACAAATATTGAGATTAATTTAAAAGTTGCAGGTTTTTTGATCGACAAATTTAGTATGAGTTGTAGAGGTAGGGGCAAAAAATCCTCTCAGATATGAGAGAAAACATTTAATTTCGCATATTTGAAAATTTGTTGAAAAGTGTGTAACTTTTAAAATAATCGCAAAATTTGCGAACTTCCTAAACCTTTGTGGAGCAGATTTTTCGATATTTCGAGATTTTAAACAGCTTTTTTGCTACCTTGTATGCATTTAATGTAGTTATGTGGTCACTAAGACCTACGGCGAAAGTTTGTTTCTTCTTATTAGCCTCTTCTCTTTTACCAAATGGAGATACGAACGGTGATTTTGAGCTAAGGCAAGCTGCCATTGTTAAAGCTGCGTCTAGGCAACTGAATATTGCACCATATAGAATCAATTTACCTAAAAATAACCCACACTTAATGATAACATACATTTTAAAACTAACTAATTCACACACCTATCCTCACATCAACAGGCAGCATAGCCAAATGGTGACCCAGAGGCGTTAGATTATCGTCTTTATCCAATGCACCGACGTTTTCTAATCTTTTTATAGCCGTAAGGGTATTTTCCTTTGTAGGCGGTTCGATGAAAGCTTCTAAAACATCAACTAGATCCCGGTTTTCGAAATTTTGCAGCACCTTAATGTTCAAAATCAACTGTTCGAGTGGTATCCTGTGAATCTCCGGTATGGGCTCCGCCAGTATGTTGTATTTAAACCTGTAGCTAGTGTACAGGTGGATGCAAACGCCGCTCATCACTCTACCGGCTCGACCTTTCCTCTGGAGAGCGTTCGCTCTCGTTACCCACGTGGTCTCGAGACTCTCCATGTTCCTGTTGGGATCGAACCGTTTCTCTTTCATTTTTCCCGAATCGATCACGAACACGCAATCGTCTATCGTAACGGAGGTCTCGGCTAAGTTCGTTGATATGACGATCTTTCGTTGGCCTGGTTTCGGTTTTCTAAAAATCCATATTTTTCACAACCATTCAACAACGTTTCAATCAAACGCTTACTTAAATATAGCTGCTTGTTCTTCGCTGGTTAGCGACGAATGTAGGGGGAGTAAAACGTATTTTCCGGTCCTTCTTCCGAATTCCTTGTGAACGTTCAATTGATCATAGAGAGTTGTAATTTCGGCTATACCCGGCAAGAAAATCAGAATGGTACCGACCATTGGGTATCGGTGATCTCCTGACACGATCCATTCCAGCACCGATTCTATCAGGTCGTAATTGATTTTGTCCGGATCGTGGCAATAAATATTTTTGCAGGTTGTCAAACTGTAACCTAAAATAAGCGTTTAAATTTTACGTCATTAATATACACGGTTGGAAAATTATTCGCGCATAATAGGGAAATCAATGTTAAATTCTTAGCCGGCTGAAATCCAGTCTACCAGTGTACATTTCAATAGAACGTCGCGATGAATTCTAATAAATTTAATTGTTCTACTGGATCGCACGCCGCGATTTGTAGAGGTACAAAGTTATTTGTGTTAGGTATGAGGTACAAAATTATTTAGAAACTACATTTTATAGTTTTTTTGGGGATATTTCAAAAAAATGTGTGTATCGGTAGGTACAGTTTTGAAACAGCAACAAATTTTGTTGAACTAAGGGAAAAAATAATTCAATTTTCAGCTAGAATTATACCTCATTTCATTAATATGGGATGACATCTGTATGACAGGTTTGGCTATTGTTTAGCAGAAAGCGGTGAACTATTTTTTAGAGTTCTTTTATTTTCTGTTTTAAAATAATCTTTAAGTTTATTTTTGGAGTTTCCTTTTTATTATTTTCTTAGAATTTACTTTCTTTTTCGAGCCATTGTGGCAAAAAGACATATCTACATAATTCTATTTTAATATTAGTGATATTTTTTCAATAAATTATCGTTTAAAAATTCTCATTTCTTTTTAATCGACTCGACGTTCACCCATCCTAACCCGTTTTGATACTGTCGAAGTCCAGTAGAACAATTAAATTTATTAGAATTTATCGCGACGTTCTATTGAAATGTACACTGGTAGACTGTATTTCAGCCGGCTAAAAATTTAACATTGATTTTTCCCTATTATGCGCGAATAATTTTCCAACAGTGTATGTAGAAGAAAACTCTTACTTCCATATCTCGCTAAAATCTGCAACGCCTTCAAATTTTCATCTCTAACATTGTCCCTTGGTTTGTTGTTTTCGGAATCGAGATCACTGGCCGAGGTCATGACTTCTACGTAATCATCGTCCGGTTTCAATTTCCTGCAATACTCCGAGCCTTCCTCGAGGACGTACCCCGCGGTTTCCATGATGTCTTCGAGGAAATACTGTTCCACTGGAAACGTTCTACCCGGTATATTAACAATCGGTATATCGCCGAAATATTCGGAAAACAACGACGCGTTGACGGTAGCGGACATCAGTATCACTTTTAAATCGGTGCGAATTTGCAGTAGTTCTTTCAGGATTAACAGCAGGAAATCGCTGAGGACAGAAATACATCAATTTGGGTATTGGATTTTGAAGAAATTCGTCTACCTTTCTTCACTGCGTTCGTGCACTTCGTCCACTATAATGTGAGTGACGTTCGGTAGAGTCGGTTCGCCTTCTAATCGTCTCAATAGTATTCCGGTAGTACAAAAGGATAGTCTAGTGTTCGAGGACATTTTACTCTCTAATCGTATTTGATAACCTACGGTGTTTCCAATTTTTTCTACTCGCTCGTCGGCCACTCTTTCCGCTACACCTGAAAAAATAAAACACCCATTTAAGCAGATTTGTATCGTTAGTATTAGAAATTTTACCTATTGCAGAAATTCTCCTAGGTTGCGTACAAACGATCTCTACATGATTGTTGTCGCTTTCGTAATTTTTTATCCACCCATCTAAGATGAATTGGGGCACTTGAGTACTTTTACCACAGCCCGTTTCTCCGCTTATAACGACAACGGGCGATTGACTAATGACGTTCAAAATGTGCTTCTTTAAAGTCCAAGCTGGTAGATTTTTGCGCACGTTTAGCATTTTCTTGTATTTCTCGTCCTTTAATTTGGCGGAATAACTCTCTACAATTCGTTTATCGTCTCGCTTAAGTTGCTCCGAACTGATTTCTTTTTTATTCGATCGCCCCACGTTTCCTTTGGTGAAATGCTTGGGTTTGTATTGAGGTTTCTCGATGTACTTCTTCTCGTCGAATAGCTTCTGTCGGGGCGATATGAAATCGATTTCTTCTTTTAAATGTTGAACGATCACATCTTCGTTTTGTAATAATTCTGTTATCGAGTAAACGCTCGGTATGCCGTCTTCCGCTAGAATTTTAGCTTCTTCATACAGCCTTTTGCATATATGAAGGTTAACTAAAGGAGGTAGAACTGCGTTAGTTTTCAAAAATATTATAGGCGGTTCGTACGGGTATTGTGTATTTGTGGGAAATCTAATTTCTAGCTCGAACACGAAATCGTTTAAATGTGAATTTTGGTCAACCTCTTTGGTCTCTACTTCGTGGGAAAACCTGCATTTATCGCCGAATTTGCAATGACCCCTTATGATATTTTTGCATTTCTCTCTTTTATCTTTTTTAACGGGTCTGTTATGAATTTTTTCTTTGTTATGAAAGATATCGACCAAGTAGGTTAAATTTAACGTTAAAATCCATACATTATCTGTTTTCGAGGAGAACGCTTTCTCGTATATCGATTCTAAGGAGCTTTTCTCGTCCAGCCTTTGTTCTTGAAGTTCTTTTGCCGACAGTTCATGTTCAATTTCCCTTATCGGAGTGTTCCAGTTAAAGTATTTTTGAAACAGAAGGTATATCGAGTCATCAATGTCACCTTTACAATAGTTATAAGCTTCTAGGCAATGGTTTTTGTGGAAACCATAACTAAAATTCAACAATTATGTATTGAGTAAATAGTTATGAAGAAATTCGTATACCTCTCGAGTCGTAAAAGTCCAAATTGCCTCAAACGATCGGCTTCCTCGGTAGATTTATCTTTATGCTGGGAAAAGTCCACGCCGCCCTTAACAATTAAAGATCCTTGTCCTACCCAATACTTCTTCAACAAATTAGATTTAGTTTCCTTATAACTAGAACTATCGTTGAGCTTAAAGTCCTGGAAGAGTTCGTGCATTACACTCGTAGAAACCAAACATATAGTCTATATTTACCGAGCCGTAAATGTATCGTAATGTATCCATAATTTTTTCTTGTAAAACATCAGATAAAGTTAGGACCTGCAATTCCTCTTTTACTGGTTTACTCCTTACAACAGGCTTATTGCTGGAAAATAATTAGATCAAACATCTGCAATATTGCGAAATAACGAGCGTGTACTTACCTTATCTTCACCTCGGGAATTTCCCTTAAAAAGAAATCGTTTGTATCGATAGTAGTTTCGCCGTTCATTTTCAGAGAGTCAATTTTTCTTTTTCGTAATTTACAAAATTTTATCCAAATCCAAAATGAGTACAAAAGTTAGGTTAAGTTACACAGCACAGCGCAGTGACAGTAGAGAACACATAACACAAAATTTCCAAAGTTGTCTAAGAGCGAGAGAGAAGGAACCGTATTTAAATATTTGTGCGCGAGATAGACAGCAGAAATTCTTCTTTTTTATACTCTTTATTTGTTGACGTAGTAATTCTGTAATTATATCGTAATAATTAAAACAAATAAATTTCTTGATTTATTTATTTTTATTCGAAATGTTCGTTGCATTTTGCTCTTAATATTTTATTTTAAAACAGAATTAATTCCTAATATAAACAAATTAAACGTGCGCTTGACCAGCTCAGTCATTATAAAAAATTGTATTAAATTGACAGTTCACAATCTGTTAATTTTTCATTCATTATTTTTTAAATGAAGGCAAATTGTACTGGAATTTCATTAAAAAAAATCTTGCGTACTATGACATTGTAAATTTTTGCAGAATTCATTCATGTTCATACATTATTGTCTTCCTTAAAAATAGCGCGGTCTTTTTAAATTAACACAGGATAAAATATGCTTGAAAGATTACACATTTAATAAGTTTTTTAGAATACGATTGAGTGGATATTTCATTATTATATTTATTGTAAAAAATCCTTTGAATAATGATAGAAAAATAAAAAATGCATGAAAAGTCGAAGCCCTTTTGCTTGTAAACTGGAACCATTCGAAGGATATATGGCTTTATTAATATTTTAATATAAAGCTCTGCTCTCTGACTCATGATAAATGGAAGTTTAGACAAAAAATAAATTGCTTATTTGTCTTACGTTTTGCGAGATGATTTTTCATATATTGCGTTTTATGAAGACAGTTTGCCGTTTTTCCATTAATAATACGGTTCACTTATTGCTGGGAAAACGTCAACTAAAGCGTAAAATTTTACTTATAGTATTACAAAAAAGCCCAATAAGTACAGTTGAAAGGTGTTTTTTTTTTCATGAATAAGTACATTTATAATTTTTCAATTATAATATTTGACTGGGTGATGTACTTCCACGAATATTAATAATCCTATATTGGGTTTAATTCGACGCTGATATGAACATCATTGATGGAATTAAATGATCGTTATATGCATTCAGTGAAAGGCAGCAGCTTTGTCTATAAATCAGGCAACATATGTGCCACTAGGCAGTCGGTGATGGATTACGCTTGGCTCTTGATGGCTCTCTGAATTGGGTAAAAAACATTCAGTCGTTTGTACTGCGTATGTTTAAATCAATTTGTCGAAGCGTTCTACTTTAATCGAACTACCGGCAAACGCCTTTCATTTCGGATGTGTTATTATATGAACACACATGCCCCTAAAACACATCTAATTTGGCGAAAGTCCCGTCTTTGAAACACGCAACGGTAATTAGAAAATCCATTTTATTAGGGAGGCACAATAGGGGCTCAAACGGGAATTAGCTGCGTCTTATTACATGTAAAATACAGGTTATACTGTCTTGTGCGTGATTTCCAATTTCCATTCTATTAGCCAACTTGATGGCTTCTCGGGTAATCTACAAAGGCTGAAAGGCGACGAGGGTTCGGAGATCGACAATATTAGCTGGTGAGAAATTCAATAATTACGATTTTTTTTAAATAAAAACCAAATGACTTGTAATGGAATCGATTTTGAACGCTCCCCTAACAGACGTTAGCAAAATTTTTGATCGTTATAGTTAGTTTCCAAATTTAATTTAGTCTCATAGTCAACGCCACTGACAACTTTTCCGCTTTTCCTATATGGGTAATTTGCTAATTCGATTTCCAGTCGTTCGTGAAAAAGGTCCAGCTCGAAGTCCGGCGATTCGTGCCTGTGCGGAATATTTGATTTTCCTCGAAAAGGCTCGTCGCTAACCGCTTTTCCGCCGTCGTCCATTATAAAATAATATTTCTTGGCGAAGGTAAAGACTTGTTTTCGCTAAAAGGTGAAATTTACGATCGATTACAACCAAACTGGAAATGTTTAATTGAAACTAATAGCGGGAAAGTGGCGTGTAACGTGAAAGTTGAAGGCAAGTTTGAAGGGACCATAAAAAGTTGTAATGCAATTCCGGTGTGAGTTGGCGGACGAAGTTCGAACAAGTCCAAAAACGAACTAATAGTGCATTATGGTGTATTAGAAACGAAATGCTTTATTTTCGATGTTACCTTCTCAGACATTAACTAATTGAAAACATAAAACTTAAAAAAAATACTGGTACACCAAATAAGGGCACGAAAGTGCTAAATAGAAGTTTTAGCTAGCATATGCACTACATATTTACAAGTTATATGCGAGTATAAGCGGATTTCTAAGACCCTACAGGCGATTTACATACACCTAACATAAATCTTAACACTTCTACGTTGGCAAACCACTTTAGTGAAAGTTTCGAAACTTAAAGCGTCTTACCTGTCAGAAGGAGTTGAGTTAATGTAGTAGAACTACCAGTAATATAGAGCCACAAAGAGATCACAGAACCGTTACTATTTACGAATCCTTATAGGAAGTATATTCTGTACTTTGATGGATCTAAATTTTTAATACCGAATTTTATTTAACAACCTACCTTTTATTAGTTGAACCGTTGAAACTCAATGAATAAACGGGATAAGCATAAATTAATTTGGTATTACTTCAAGTAATTAGAAAGTTGCATTGAATATTTTTGAATTTATCACCATCCACCTCTGATGGAACTAAGAAAATGCCATCTTAAAACTGGAACTATTTTCCCACTTGCGTCAGGTGAAAGACGAATGTGAGTCGAGGACTATGAAAGGATTGAATAATTTACGGGAAATTAGGAGATTCGAAGTGTGTGCGTGTTTTGCGTTTATCGCTTTTGATAAATAATGGATTGCTAGCCGTAAATCACGAGGATGCTAGTTTGCTAAGTGCATCGCCACTTCGTTACCGCAACGATGTCTTTACGAGATTTCGGGCTAACTCCTAGGGGAGGAAAGTTCGAGTAAACCCCTTGATGAATCTTTCATGTGGTTCTAAAGTTTTGTTACTATTCACAAATTAAATTGAATAAATACAATTACAGTTTTTATATGCGAGTTTACCTGTAAACAGTATTTTAAAAATGCATATGTATATACGAGTACGTCCTGTTGCTCCCTAGGGCGCTCGTATGCCTTTTTCAGTCTGTTGGAGCATCCATAACTCAATAAGAGGCACTATGATTCGGTTTTCTTTGAAGTACATTTCGCGGAGATGTGCTTTTGCATGCGGCCCCAAATCGAATCAGACGCCAATGTATACTTCCTTTTTGCCGAAGAAAATTGAACCAACTTTTCTAGTTTATTGCCATATTTCTGTCTCCAGAGGGACCATTTATATGGGACTTTACGGAGGACTTTGTATAGATATAAGATACAGCGTGGTCTCTCCGGATTTATTTTTTTTATATCGGCACGTGCCTCCAGATTTTTTTGATCATTTTTGGAAATGGAAATTTATCCTATATGCAGTATTATTCGAGTGCCATCGTAAATTGATACATCGTTTGCCATGTAGATAGCAAATATTAATAAATCAATAAGCAATATCGTAACTGCATAACCGCCCCTGGTGCTTTGCTCCCTCAAACCCTTCAACAATATGAGAATTACAGTAAGTGCGGGCGGCTTTCGTCATTAACGCCGCTTACTACATATATTGCGAAGTCCTAGAATGCAAAAGAGCTGCCATAGTTTGTGCCTCAAAGGGATGAGGCGGCCCTTTGATCCTGATATAACACCGCAGAGACGCCGAGGACTCGCACCGTGCCCTTAAATTCAATTATATCGAAAGTTCATAACATATTGCGGTAACGGTTAGAAATTATAAAAAAAAATTGAAGCTATTTACAGTCTGATTAATTTTTAATAATTTCCATAAAAACCAAACTAACCGTTCCGTATATGCATAAACCGCATTGGGGAAAACTATTGGTGCATCGCAACTATGCGCATATATAACTGCATTTTCACCACCCAGTGACAGGATGCAACTTGCAAAAGTGGGTCAGTCGGCCTTTGGAACTCGTTTGTCGTCCAGCTATCAATTTCGATGGAAATCCCAGATTTTCGCGGTGGCATTTTCGACATAGTCGCGAGATGTCGACGATTTCACTCAATTTATCCTAATCGCGCGAAAATTCGTTCATTACATACGAGTGTCGGTCGAAAGTTTGTGCATAAAACAAAAATTGTTTTTATTGTTGATAATGTGAGAGGAATATCGTGATTATTTTTAATTTTTTAATGTATTATATACGGTAAGTTAAACTCAAACTCTTCTAATTTTTTTATTGTAGGTAAGTAAGTAGGTAGATATAAAATAATATTTTTATAACAATTTACTTTGCACTTAAATTTAATTCTTAATGTAAGCGATTATTCAAATAAAAATCTTTTAAATTGAGAGAAACAGAGTATAAAATCAGCGGCTGTTAGTGGTAGAATTAAAATTATTCGGATTGGTAATCAGGGGTGGTAGAAGTTCAATTAGGTACACAAGAATCGTAATTCGTAGAAATAAGAAACCGCAGGAACGGATGTAATGAAAGGGTTAGACCGACCTCCGAGCAGAAGATACGAGAAATTAAATTTGAATAATTATACAATAACACGTAGCGCGTTTTAAAGTCGTACAGAGCCGAAGTTTGTGTATCGACGCGGGTCGCCCGATGTCGCCTCATTAAAATATTTTAATTGTTGCGGAATGGAAAATGAATATTCAGAAGTTTTCTGCGAACATAACGGGAAAATATTAACATACGATGAGTCTGCACTTGGGCGTCTCGGCTTTAGCGCTCGGTTACACTTACGTCTATCAATTTTAATAAAGCACCCCCTTTGATATTCATACTCGTATTTAGTGAAGTATGATATTAAGGGTCCACATGGGCGAAAGCGTTTCGCTTGTTGACGGCTGAATGAAGACCTATCAGGTAAAATATTCTCACTCGGTTCATGACTAAAAATCCTGTGTTATGTTAATTTCTTTCAATTAGTTTGTTGTGGACATCTACAAAGGCACGGTGATAGCGAAAGCGTTGATTGAAAACAAAAAAAAGTCATACAAATGTAACAAGTATTAGTTATAGCATCGCCGGTTTTTGACCCGTTCCGTGTCTCGTTATTATTTCATCCGAACATGTCCGACGCCATCAAATTCCGTGCGAATTAATCCCAAGACTGGAAACTTTTCCAATTAACGAATGAATACCGTAACCAAGCGTGAGTGCCTTTTAACAATGCGACTCCTCCTCGACGGCTGGATATTCTTGCGCCTACTGTTCTGTATCCTAAAACGGAGAAACGCAGCTCGAAGTGAGCGAGCGCATCGGAGACGCTGATCTGACAGAAAGGAGAAAGGCCAAGAAAGTCGGGAGAGCGGAAGTTATTGCGGAGTTTTGATGTCACGTGCATGTTGGCTTGCAACAATGCCGACTAAGAAAACTCGCTTCTGTGGTCTTTCGGGTTTGATGCAAATCAGATCCGTTCGAGTTTCTTTCTCTCGGATGATTTTTGCTATCAAATTGTTTATCAACTTCGGTGTTTTTAGATGCGAATGTCGCCTTCGGGCGGGTGTATAGTAAATCTCTATTATCGTCGTAAATCGAATCGAAACGAGGTAACTTGCGGAAATTATACACCGACTTCAATCAAGTCCCATTCTCCGATTTCGAGACCTTATTTCTCAGCCCTCGGATTTCGCTCAATGTTCACTTATTATTCGTTCTTAGGACGGCCCCCTTTCCAAATCAACAAGCCAAGAGTAATGTATCTATCTAGTGAAAGATTATGGAAATTTCGTCGGATTTTTCTCCGAAGATGTTCCAATTTTCTATATTATTCGCGCCGTTTACGGCGATCGGAGGCGAGCAGTTTTTGTGAATGATGTGGAATATACGCTCGAAATGGCCCATTATGAACTATTTTTACTATTAGAACGAGAAGAGGAGGATTTAATATTACGTTAAAGATGAATTGTAGGTTGTTACTTTTTTATTGATTAGTGATTTTAATAGCAAATAGCCTTATTTTGTAGAAAATCTCCCCTGTGAGAAAACTCTACTTTGCATATATGCATTTGTCGCCTGTTTGGTATACGTGCGTTCGGATTTATATAATGGCGCTCGGGGGGGCGCAAATGGGACTTCGATATGGTTTCGCGATTGAAAAGTGAACGGATATGGAAAGGAAAATGTCACATACATTACGCGACGCTGATCAAAGGGGAGCCGAACAAAACGACATTTTTCGAGAGTGTCATTTTCGGTATTGTTTCATGAAGCACCATCAGAAACGAACCGTAAAAGCCCAGTCACCACCATCAACGAATCGCGAAGCAAAAACTAACATATAAATTATTAAATCCAAAACTACTCTTATACTCGTATACAAGAGATAACGCTAGGGTGATTAAATCTTTTCGTGCACTTCAATCCAGACGCGATGCTCGTTCTTGCGGAATAACGTTTCGAAGCTAACCAAACATTCCATAGCGATAATTCCATTAAGAAATGAGCCGATCCGGAGTGCTTTCGACTCGACGCAACGGCAACAGAACTGCGGAGGATTCTGTGCGTGAAATTCGAACGCCAAATAAACGCGTCTACGATTCCATCAGCAAAACCGAAACCGACTCGAATCGAATTGAATAGTCACACGCGCCTATACACGTTGTCCTGGTGCTTCTGCCGGGGAAGAGCTCAAACGGGAATGAGGGCTTGAGCAAATATTACATGAATCATTATTACGCTGTTTTATAAGCAAATAATGTTTGAAATTTAATTAATATCCGGAGATCTAATTTTATGAGATGAGCATGTTTTTATATGTGGTGTGATATTTTTGTTTATATTCCGAATTGTATTCGCTTGGAGTCTATTCTGCTAATAATAAACGACTGCAATAAAACGGTACAGTAACAATTGGTATGGCGGATTTATTCCGTACTTTATGCCCGTTGTTTTCGCATGTAAATGGGAAAATCGTGTAATAGTCGAATTTAAATATCCGCAGTCGTTCTCGTAGATATACACACATACACCCGTCGAAAATGACTAACAAGGCTAAAATCCGAATATGCATAGGGGTAAACGACGTTTCTCATTTGCATACATCACGTCATTTACGACACAAGCAACTTAATTAACGAGTGACAATTTAACGATCCACTTCACGCCCGTTTATTGGATTCTCCTCGTTTTCGGATACCTATTTATTTCGCTGGAGCAACTGATAAGCCCGAATGTCGAATACCCGAATGCAATATCGCGAAAAATACACGTTTGTTCTGTGCACGAAATGTACACGTACCAGCATGAATCGCGTTTGCGATTAGATATCGTCTTTTGTAGGAAATTTCAACGCTCGCTGAAACTGTATCGACACGAACTAATTTTCATGTAACTGCATGCATATATTACGTGTTTTTGGCATATTTTATGTACCCACCGGAAATAAAGATACTACATTGTGATATTTAACGATGACTAGAACAAAATATCCTTATCGTACTTTTAAGGGTTGAAATTTAAAGAGTAACAAAATATTTGGTCTATTTGAGAGTCGATTTTGATTAATTTCTCATAGAAAATTTAATTTTTCATTCTTTTAGGTGTACAACTTAATGAACTTTTTGAACAAAAATTTAAAATCCTATTAAACACCCTTACGTACATCCTAAACACAATAGAAAAAACAATTTTCATTAAAATGAAAATCATGAATAGCAGGTTTCTTGTCACATTATTAACATTTAAATTTAACTGTAACTATGTATGTTAACCCAAAGTTTTAATACTAATCTTAGATGTGTATATTGGGAAACCATCGACGCCCCTTGTTGTTTTCACCCTTCCATCCCCGAAACATCAACATAAACTAATTCGAACGTCAATTTACTCCTTCTTGTAAGACATCAACCAGGCAACTCCTAAGAGAGGAAACTGGAATATATAATATAGATATAGTATACCCCGCGTCCCGACGGGATTATAACGCTCTCGATACGATTTTAATGTGCAATTAAAACTATTTAAAATACTGTCTTGTCGATTAGATCGACTACGAGTTGTTAAGACAGCTTTAAAAATAAACACTATACTTTCATTTTTAATTGAATTTGAATTATTGCAGATTAAAGTTATTGTTGAAAGAAATACTGAACACAATAATATTCTAATAAACATCTGAACGCATGTGTAATAGTTAAAAATGTTCATATACATAGAATACCAGTTTTATTAGTTTTCTAGATATTTTCCCAAAAATAATAATTCGCTGATTAATAGATAACATTTCATTTAATTTACCTTCTATACCTGCCATTGCACTCGATTTGCGATGCTTTAGATTATTTATTTTAAAAATATTAAGAAATGTTGTTTATCGAGCATATCTTTATGCTAATATCATGGCAACTGGCTTCACCTATCGATTCATTGGAAGAAATATTCCAAAAAATGCATTAGTCAGACGGTAACATTTAGATATTGGTTACGAAACACTAAACACTGGTTAGGGGATAAGCGTTTTTCATATAAATTTCCAAGGAAGTAATAGATCGTTATCCAGTCGTAAAAATGAAATTATCAGTGATCTACATCCCCGTTCTCGTGATCTTGCTATCATGCAGTGCCAACAGCGAAGAAGAATCTCTTAAAAATTCTGTGGTTTCGAATATGGTGAGTTTAATTATTTTTCATTATAACCTATATTACTAGTTATTTTAAGAAGATACTTACAGTTGCATATATTTTCACGCACGTAAACTTTTTTAAATTATTTTTGAAGCCACCACCTATTTTTAATTATCTATCTATTACAATTATCTCTAAATTTGCGTGAATGCAACAACTTCAGTATCTCGTATTTTTTTCGACTATTCAGGAATTTCGATTAGATTTTCTTTTACACGACAAACTAAATCACTCTCAAATTAGAAAATGATAAGGGCATATTTGTCTATTAAAGTTATAAAAAATCTTTTTCGCAAAATTTCATTTTTTCTGTCGATTTTAAATTGTGTTATTGCAGCGAACGGGCGTCGGGAAAATCTTTCACATTGTGGGCGATTCTATGTCTAGTTCTTATAAAAAATTAACTTTGGTGCTCGGAGCTAGAGGAGTACCCAAGCCGAAAAAAAAGAGCAAACCAGCGACTACCAGAAAAGCCAAAGGTAATGGAAAACATTGGGATTCCTTTTGGATTAACATTTGGATTTTTTAAAGTAATAATTTTGAACGTTTTACCATAAACAAACTCGCCAATTTAAATAATCATAGATACAGATCTTCTTGGAATAATACATTTTTAGTACTTAAAAATAGGTACTTATAGTGCCGAGGGAAAATTAGGTATACTATTTTTCTTTCTATAAATTACTAAGCATTTTTTTACTTAACATTGAAATCAACTTGGTACAAAATCATAACTTTTACGAAAAATTTGTTATATTATATTTTTCTAATACTGGTACACTAAATGTAGCCTATTTTGATGGTTAAATTAGTCTGAAATGAATAATTGTTATCTAAAATGAAACTTCCAGTAAACTTTTCATTAAGTATATTGGAATGAATTAAAAATAAAATGGAAATATTTTTCCTATTACGAAAATATGTGCATATTTTACCGACGAAAATTGCATTTGATGAATTCAAACATTTCATATGTAAATCGATAAGATATTTAGTGGTATAATTAACAAAATTGTTGATTTTAGGCCCAACAAAAAGACCACATCAGTCAGTTGATAAGGGAGCTTTTGAGAGAACAGATGATTTGTTATCATCACAGTGGTACAACGGACATAGAAACAACGAAACTCATCTAACTCCTAAGCCTAAGGTTAAAAGTACTAAATTAACGACAGTAGCCAAATCCACCAATAGTAAAAAATCCACAACAGCATTGTTCCAAATCCGAAATCATACTCCCTATCCGATATACTTTAGCGATGGATCCAACGCGGAAAAAGGTACGATTAAAATTTACGCAGAAATTTAACCTACCTATACTCTATTCAATGCAATTTACTCATGTTGCAAATATCGGTCGTCTACAAATAAATCGATTATCCAATCGTTATTTATTTCAATTAAATACTTCAATTTCTAGATTCTGAAAAAGCTTTCCTACATTTCTTTGCCTTTCAATATCTTTGAATGTTCTCTCTCGCAATAACAACGCGTATTTTTCAGAGCCCAAACAAGTAAAACAAGTAAAACAAGTAAAACCTGTAAAACAATTACCGGTATTGAAACTTAGCAAACAGTCCGCTGAGAAAAAAGTAAAGCTTTTTTCTGAGTCATTATCTGTTGAAGGTTTAGACAAAAGCAATTCGAAAGAAACGCATTCATCCACTGGATCTGTCGGATTTCCGGAATCTATGGCACCCGTAGCACCTATACCGACGCCCGGTACGATGGAACAACCAAAAACTGGTTCGAAATTCGAGTTTACCAGTCTATCAGATTCGTTCGGTTCGAGAGAAGATTCTCTATTTGATGGCAACAGATTTTCCTCAGAGAACAAACCGTCTCTTATCGAATATCCAGCTAATATACGAAAGATAGGCGATAAACGCGATTTGAAAGGTACAGGTATTTTGAAACTCTTTACTTCTTCTACAAATGGAAAAACCAGAAAACCTCATGTACTTAAAGTTATGTTTAAGAATTCCAGGCCGGTCAGACAAAATAATAATGTAATTAAAATTGTCCGTGTTATTGAGCCTGAGAGTAATGATAATTAGTTTTACATTATAGTTTTACTCGTAGATTTGAATTATTGAAAGGTATTGTAATGTTACACATATCAAGCAACACTAAAACATGAACCATTTGAGGTAATTATTTTTTTTTGTTATTAATTAGGTTAGTTACTGTTCCTGTATAATATACAGCATAATTAATAATGCAACAGAACGCTATACCAATTAGAAAACTAGTCATCAAAACTAGAAAATAATAATTTAATTTACATTACGTATAGATTTTGTATTAGAGATAAGTAACAACATTTTACTATCTGTTTTATAGATATTTATACATTAACTTTCACAATAACTTTATCTGTGCTTTCATCTTACGAATTAATGAAGGGGTAAAGTGTGTTTTATTGGTTGAAATGCTGTTATAATTTCTCTCTTTGTAGGTGTGTCTGAAGGAGAACCTCAGCCTACCGTCAGTATACTGGACGCAGGAAGCACACCTCAAATATGATTTTGTTTGATCAAAATAATTTCAGGTTTCTTTATTTCATATATTTTTGTTTTAATTTTATGATAGGAAATTTTATAGAAAATAAAGTGATTAGTAAAAATTAATAGTTTCAAACATTTATTTCAATTATTACTATTAGAATGGTTCATGTCTTATTGTTAGTTAATTGTTTTAATACCTCGTGCAGTATTGTACAATTTAAGAAAATCGTTATTTCATAATGCAATATCAAATGTTAGTTTAACATTATTTGCAGTATTTTTGGCTAATATTTTCGGAGCAATATTGAGTTGAATTTACAAAGAATACCAAACATGCTTATGAAGTGAGAAAATACTGTCAATTGAAGTTCAGAATTTATTGGATGGTTACCTCTACAATTAAAGTATATGCGAATTTGATGAAAACATCATATTTCCAAGAAAATATTTAGGCTAGCATGATATAAATCCCTTTTGTAATACTGTATTATTCATAACGCTAAAATAAACCAAAACATTGATCTTAAATGATCCAGGTAAACAATGGAATCGTTTCCAAAACAGCCAATTTTAATAGTGCATGTTTCCTATCTATTTTTTTTAACAATAAAGGGTATTTTTGCTAAAATTTTTGTGTCTGAATTAGGTACTCATACATATGCCTAGAATTTTACGTGAGGCAAACAAATTGTTTACACCATTTAACATTAAAACTCAATTCATTTAGGTAATTAAGTATTTGTGATGATTTATAAAAAAGTTAAGTTTTTATTGACTTCAAATACGATTTCTCGAACATTCTTATCCATCTCAAAGCTATCTATAAAAAAACTAACGCAATCTTACAATATAATCCGAAAAAAAAACATATGTGTATCAGAATTTTTTTACCAACAAAGAAAATATCATGCATTACGATGATTTAATACATTGAAGATAATTTGTTAAATAATTCAGATTATTCGCAGCATATTAGTTTTCTTTCTTCAACTAGACGAATGCTTGCAGTGGCGAGATGTCAATTTCGGTATATTTTCTTTGTCTTTTCCTATTGGTGAATTTAAACGAAACGGTTCAAGTCGAAGGGAATTTTTGGTCAGTTATAGTAAGTATTTACAATAATTTAGTAACCAATATAAGCTTTCAGTGAGTTATTACAACTGAACATTTCGATAATTTTGGTAATATTTAATTGTAGAAAAACGTAAGTCAATCTGTAGGCCATGCAATCACCTACGGCTTTACAGGTATTAGCCGTGCACTAGGTGTAAGTGAAGAAGTTCCCGATAGGCTGAACTTTAAATTAGGGAAATCGAAAAGCCTCTTGGACCAAGGCGTATTGAACGACACACTTAAAGAACCCTTGCCTATTCAATACACCGAAAAATTGAAAACAATTCTCAATGAACAAAACTCGGTAGTTCTTCCGTTCGAGCACCGACAAAATATCGATAAAGTTGAGAAAACCAGGTTGGAAAATATAAAGATTGTGGAGCAACCGTTTGAACATGAAGATGAAGAGGTTCTAGCGCCTACTCAAATAGAACTCGCTAAATCCACGGAGGCTGCAGAAACTGTTGAACCTATTGAACCCTTGGTTAAGGTAAATTGATTATTATTTTTGAATACGCTGCTGATTTTTTCTAAATTCTTATGATCGTTAAAAAATATAAAGTTGACTTATGCTTTTAGGACGATAACATTTTTATAGAACAGACAAACATTAAGGTATGTTAAGGTACTCTTTGCTATTTGGGTTTTTTGCAATATACTTCTTAATTCTCGATATTACTATACATATTTACCAAAAAATTGACCGTGAATATTTTAATTTTTTTAGTTGATTGAAGCAGAATTAAATATTTCTGTAACTGATGCAACAAAATTAACAAGTTACAGTACAGATGCTACCAAGATTTCCAGTACAGATGCTACCAAAACTTCCAGTACAGATGCTTCCTTATCTAGCAGTGCTAAACCGATATTAGGAGTAACTAATGTAAATTTATTCCTCATATTTAACGATTTTATTAGTATTTCATCTATTCTTTAGGTCGCTACTAGTACAGAAGATCCTATAAGTGTTTTCAGTGGTAGCAGTAACAGTAAAACTCAAACAGGAAAAATAGTAAATTAATTACTTATTAATCAATGTATTGAATTAGTTACTAAAAATATATTTCAGATAAGGACACCTGATCATAATTTACCACCGGTCAACGACTATGCATACGATTTAATACAATACGCAGTAATGGGACAGGTAAACCCGTTTATCTCATCCATTATATTAAATAATTTTGAAGAGTCCAATTGAACGTTCAAAATTTTCACAGTTACTTAATTAATTAGCAATATTTATTATCAGCAAACTTTGTGCAGGTCAAACCAGTCACTGAAGAAGGTTCCGTCAGTAGTTTTAAATTACGAGGTCCGCCACCTATTCCGGTTCCGAGAGTGAGAACTGTAAGTCAATTCCACAATTGAACAAATGCATTAATATCATAGGCTTGAATTTTAGGTCATTCTCGATACAGAAACTACTGACTTATTAACTAATGCATCTAAATCGAAGATTGTAGGTGTGAGAAAGGTTAAAAGAGATAGAACAAGAAGCAAAGAAGATCACAATCAAAAAAATGTTGGAGGTATGATATAAGGTTATTATTTCATTAAAATATATTTGATTTAAAATTTGTATTTTATAGCTACATAATATTTAGTGACTATAACTCAAATATTTTTTATACTTCTAATATTATTGAAATAGTCATACGGAGAAGGTAACATATTATTTTTTAGAGCCAAAATTAATGAAGGATGTTCCCGTGAAATACTGGTATTAAACGAATAAACAACTAAAATTTAATTGTTATATCATGAAATTAAATTGCAAATTTCCCGAACTGTTGTTGCTTTAAAATAAAGACATTTTGAACTAACTGAAACGTTTCTTATTTTTTATAGGTAAATTCCTAAAATTTCTTTCCCTTATGCCTCGTAATAAAATTTTCCTTAGAACCCGCCATTGGTTGCCTTCCACTTCCATCTTTCCCGATTTTCAAATCCCCGTCTTCCACTAAATCACGTTTAGATGTAACTCTTGTTATCTGTAGCTAATACTGCGGAACATCCGTCTTAAAAATGTTATTAGAATGTTTTATAAGGTTGTTATTGGCCTTCTTAATGGACCTTTTCGGAGATCTTCTGCATAGTAATAGGCTTTGATGTATTTTGTTAGCAATATGGAATCGGGAAGGAAAAAAGAACACAGGAATAAATCCAATGATATCTATTAATATTTATGTTCGAGTATGTGCAAGAGATGGTAGGTAGATGAATGAAAATCCGTTGTAAATAAAGTTTTACTTTTCACTTATTAACTAGATAATTCGGTGAGCAAATACGGAAAGGGTTGTTGGTACTTTTACCTCGCAAACAAATCACACGCTACAATCAACAAGCCTTTTAATTACACCTTTGGAGTAAACTCAAAATGATTTCGGTTTACTCGAGTTACTCTATAAAATTAATTGAAGCAGACTAATCAGATTTTTTACTGTCTGTGTGCGCAGTTATAAGATTAAATTTTATTTCAATAACACACTGATTTTGCTTAAAATTTAAGATTTATTTTGAGAAAAATTGTCTGTAATACGATTGGTAATATTACAAACATAACGAATAATAGGTAATTGATAGGAAAAATACATATCTAAAAATTTTATTCTACAATCCCCAACTGTCTTTCTTTTCATTTTGGGGAGAAAAAATACCTGAGGCCATTCGCATTACATTCATCGGGACATCAGTTATAAGGGAGGTGGCGGCCTGAAAATAATAAAAATCGTTAAAATCATTAGGATAAATAGAAACAATAGTGATTAAGAGTATGTGGTCTTCAGGTTCTTACCCGGAGGCTGGGAAAGTCCACGGGGTTTGCGAAATTTACTGCTAACATTACATATAAAAAACAAGTGTAGATAAAAAATTTCATTTTCTTTAACTTTAATGACACGTAGACAATTGCTTTATGTAAAATTACAATCACTGTTATTTATATGTTTTTTTGTTGTATTTTATTATTAAAGAAGCAATAAATATTTCCGTTAAGTGAAAACAATATACAGGGTTATATATTTGATTTAAAAAAGTCATGGAATAATTTTTATATACCAAACAGTTACAAAAATTCAGCGATAATCTTAACTTAAAATTTTATTGTAATTACACATAAAATAAAATGAAATCCGTTTCTATAAATTTATCAAGAAATAATTTACAAATGAAATTATGTAATTGAATTGAACTACAAAGTATTGCTCAGAAGTTAATCAGAATTACTCCGTATTATATTTAAAAAAGTTTCGAATTTGGGAATTATTCAATTTCCAAGTTATCGTTTATTCATGATGGTGTTGTCTGATTATATTGGTTTTTATCATTCATTGTGGGTATAAGATTGCGAAATCAAAAACTCCATCGAACAATAGGTTTATTAAAAGTTTAAAAACTGTTTTTGATGACAATAACAAGTTAAAATGCTTTTATAGCCGTAATTTTAATAATCTATCTAAGTATGTAGATGTTTAATGTACGTGCCTCAGGTTAGTTTTTTATTTTCAAAAAGTGAAATATATAAAATAATAAACAGCAGAATTCACGAGCATAAATAATAAATAATAGTAATCCGTGGCAGCCGAATCGGCTACTTTGATATTTTTTGCGTTAATTTCATCAATTTCGGAACTGAATGAATTTTCGGATGACGAATCATCGTAAACGTCATTGTTAGTACCGTTTTCGCCATCTGCACCATCTATTCTGTAGACCATAATATATTCTGTAGAATTAACAGCATGACCAACGTCGTTTTTGATAGTACTGATGCTAGGATTTTTAAAAACTTTACTCGTTCTACAAATGACCTCATCCGAAATCTACAAATAAGTATACATTTTAAGGGTATGGCTGTAGCAGCGTTGGAATGGACCATATGCAAACAAATTCAAGCAAGTAAAAAGAAAACAATATTTACCCCACAAACATATTTTAAAGTAAGGCTCATGGTTATCAACGTTTTCATTGTTTCTAATAACTCCATATAAGTAGGTTCAGTAGGCCATACAATAGCGTTTATTTGAACTAAATCAGAGGTTAAATCATTGTTGAGACATTTATAACCCATCGGAAACTAAAAAAATATCATTTTTACGAACCCTTGGAAAAATGTAAATATTATTTGTTGGTCCATATAAGACAATATTTATCAGGAATATTTTAACTCATTGGTTAAGGAATTCCGAAATAAATGGTAAAATTGCACCATTCGTGTAATTTTTTTTAATTATCTTAAACGTAAGTCATTTTATCAGACCCTCTAATTCCACACTAAATGTAAATGTAACAAAATTATTATGATAACATATTACCGCACAAGTTGCACTGATTGCTTGACACATTACATTCATCATCAAGCCGTCCTAAAATGAATTTAAAATAATATATGCTTATTAAATATGTATATGATTTTAATAATATTTACCATTGTATGTAACTGATTAGGTATGTCAATGAATGTTAATAAGCTTCTAAAAACTTGGTTCTTGAGATATATGAATTTCGTTACTCCTGTTATTAATTACTATTTCAGTTTAAACATTGAACAATATTATGTGCGTATTATAAACATACAAGACTTATTAAAAAAAAATAATTTCTTGGTGAATTAATTACAATATACAATTTGCACGGTTACCGATGCATTTTATATCTACCCACAGTGGAGTTTTGATTAGTTTTTTTTATTAATATTTTTCATGCGTCCAGAATTGTGATTCCCACCGTCCACTAATTACTAATAATCATTGAAGTATAAATTTTAAATTAGCATTACCCATAAATTATTTTATAAATAATAAATTTCAATAACATAAAAATTTGTATTAGGTAAAAAATTTAATGAAAAATTTAATCAATTTCATTTCAGTTGTATATCGAATAATTATTAATATTAGATAGGTACAATTTGCATTAAAGCTTCCAATTAAGTTCCAAAACGCTTTGGTAAAATATCCACAAATTGCCTGCATAAGTGCATCATTTTCTTCAATGCTGTCGGCTTCATCTGCTTGTACATAGTTGATCTAGGTACAGGCATAAAAGATGATCCTAGTTTAATCTAAAAGAAAATGTTAAGTATCATTATTATTTCTGCAATAGTAACTTCTAATAAAATTAAACCAATCGTAAATCAATTAAATCAATTTTTGTTGATTCAGTTTCATATGATTCGTTAATAGTGATGGATTTAGAACTTACCAAATCTGAAAAACTGGCAACATTTTTCGGTGGCGGTTCGGGCTGCTCATATTTTAACGTTGTCCATGGTATGGGATAAATTAACGTTACCAATAAAATGGAGATAAAAACTCCAACTATACTTAATTGGACAATATTCATTAATGTCGTTGATTGTAGAACAAATTTATTGAGAATTTAAGATGAATTTAGAAATTAGTGAAAGATAGAATTTGACGTTAAATTATAGTAGTAAAGGGCATTCTTGACACATGCTTATTTATTGCTAATCGGTGGCCAATGATTTATCAGTCTGTGATTTATTCTCAAAAATAAACGAAGAGACTACGAATAAAAGAGACTTGAATAGGAGTTTCAAAATGCGTGTCTAAAATACAATTACAAGTTTTGTATGTGCAAAAGGTTTTATACGATTTTAATAATGTTCAAGATCTCTAACATTACCAACAGCTCTCCTGTTTTTTTAATAGTATGACTTACCAACCAGGCTTTATTTTTTTCTCCAATTGTAAGTAACAAGAATCCTGTAATTTTCTTAAATAAATCTTTCATTTAATAAAAGGCTATTTATAGAGGGACAAAAAATTATCAATTTAATGAAAAATTTGATACATATCAATATCGCAATGTTTTGCCGAATGGAATAAACCACACATCCTACTTCCCGTGCTTTACAAAACGATTTGCGGTTGTTCTTAAAAAAGATAAAATTATAATAACCAGATTAGTGTAGCGAGAGAATAAACTAACAGTTCCCCGTTTAATTATTGAATTGATTTTTCATTTACGCCGAAGCACTTCCAAAAAATATGCTAAAATTAACATTCCCCATTTATCAACCAATCTTATTGTAATAAATTTCAACATGGGAACTGTACGTACACTCATAATAAGTATTTTCCATTACAAACCGCAAGTTTCCGTTAGTAAACCAGGATTATTCCATATTTCTGTTTTCTATTTAAAGAAATCTTTTTGAGATGATAATTTAGTTTTGTGGGATCAGTTCCTCCGAATAGGTCATAATGAATTACATGAAATCATTATTGGTGCTTTGTTTAGTGGGGTGTTGCCTGGCTGCTCCTAAACCCATCGATTGGGATAGCTTTGTAAGTAATTTCTATTGACGGAATTTAGGTACATTTATTGTGATTTAATTTACGTGTTTTAGGGTAGAAAAGTTAAAGATTTCGGCCATAAAGTACACGATAAGCTCCACGAAGTTAAAGAGAAAATCCTCCCCGCCGCAAAATCAACATGCGAATTCGTCAATTCGATCTCACCCGATACTCAGCAAGATAACTTCGGTGGTTACTACCCGCAGCAACGCAGAAGTTTCCCCGATATTCACAGTTTCAAAAATCAGTATCATAATACTCATTTTGGCGGATTTCCTCAATTTCCCAGTGACTTCCACAAGCCTCATTTTCATCATGGATTCGACCAACACTCGAATTTCCCTAAATTTCACCCATTCCATAAATTCTTCCCGAACCACCACTTTCCCACTTCTCACCCATTCCCCTCAATACCAAGTTACACCCCATCACCACCTATTGCGGAACATCCAACAGGAGACGTTAACACCATGGCACCCCCACCAAATCCCCCAATGGGTGGTTTCGATCTCGTGAAACCTGGCACAACGACAACAAAAGTGGATTTCAACGAATTCTTCACCGTTCCACCGTCACCATCCAGTTCCGAAGCCGGAGATGCTGTCGCTCATCCAACCTCACCCGTTTTCACCAGCTCAGTAACGTCGGAATCTACTATAAATTTCGATTTACCGGCGGACTCAGACGAGCAAGGTGGTTCGAACGACGATGAAACGCCTCTGTTTCCGGATAACAGCGGCGAACAAGGGGATTCACAGGAGGATCCAGATTTTCCGTTTCTTAATAACAACGATAACACTGGCGGTTTCGATAACGCAGCTCCTCCGGTTAGTGAAAATACCATTGAGGAAGGTGGTGCTGATAACGATAATGTATTTCCCCAATTTAATAATGGGGAAAAATTGGACAATGGTGGACAGCTTCCTGATGAAACTATTGAACAGGCTGATATGAACGTTGATGATGATATTCCACCATTCATTGCTCCCAAAGATGAAAATGGAGTTGAAAATAACGACGGATTCGTCCCTCAAAATTTCTTCAATAATTTCGAAGTAGTAGATCAGAGACCAGTGTTGCCTATTAACTCCAGAGCACGCGGTCATTATTATTAATTACCCATAATGTTCGTTAATTTACTGAGTGGGTAAATATTTTAATTGTTAAAATATACAGAAATGTAAGTAATTGTGTCTCCTTACCATGTACGACTAGATTTAATAAAATTTAACGTAGGTACACAACCTACTTATTTTTCAATTTCTTTTGTAATTAAATCGAAGTAGAAATATATATTTTTTCTTTTTATTTTTCGCCTGTTCGTTCCACATCCGTAGTGACGTAGAAATTTCCCGCTTTTCCGGCCGACTAATTCCCAAAGTCGAAGCCCAGCGGACGTCCTTAGATGCGGATTCCAATTTAATTACGATCTATATGTTATAATTACGGGAATTTATAAAGATTTACTCGTCCGTATTTCGGTTATTAAGGCCCAGTGGCGAAGGAAGGGTAACTCGTTTATTCCGGGTAGCGGAATTACGTTCGGAGTTAAATTAGGAGTAATTGAGTTTGTTTGGAAATTTTTGATAAGCAGTAAAAATGTTCATACTGGTTGTTCTTACCTACTTGTTATATTCTTTGATATAACTGTTAAATACCATTTAACCGTTTCCAGTTGTTGGAACAGTCCCTGAAAAAAAATCCGCAACTTCATTAAAAAGGGATTTGAAGGAGGAAACGGGGACGGACAATAAAATTTTATCATCCTCGAGGATGCGGCAATTACAAACGAAAGAACAAGAATTATGAAAATAATAACCTCCAATTAGCAAGACAGCGAGTAATCCTATTAAAAAACAAACCGCAACCGAAACTTTTATAATAATTTCAGCTTTGCATTCTTATTAGGGCAATTATGATACTTCACCTCATTCGTGCCGCGTAGGGGGCGCCAGCGATTATTGTCGGGATTAGAGCACAGAGGAGGCCATTCCTATTCGTACCGGATTTTTTCCCGGAAAATTAGAGCAATCAGAGTTGTATTTTACTTATACAGTAATTATGGTAAATGATTCTAGAGAAATGGTAATTTGAATTCGACATTTATTTGTTGATCAGATCCCGTATGAATATCCTAGATTCTCTTTATGAAATTTCTCGACTTGTGACAAACGAGCCGGCCGGATCGCAGGGTGAAAGGGATTTATCGAGGGGAAGATATTCGCATATTCGCGTGTAGTGTGATGAGTCAATAAGGATGTAGGTCCATTTGTCATGCGAATCCCAGTTCTCATTTGAATGGGGCACAGCATAAAGGACATATCTGCTCCTCTGCCACTAGAAAATGGATTACGACACTTAGATATAAATATAAGGGTAGCGTTTTCGAGGCGATTGCGTAAGAATTTGTATAGACCGTCGGTTTTCGCGGCCGAGTCCGCATTACATCCAGCCCGGTAGATTAAATTAATTTACTGACTCGAATCTACACCGACAGGAAACTGTTGGAAAACCTTAAACAGATAAGCTTGAATTATATTATAATTAAGATCCAAGAAAAGCGCTTCTCGGAGTGCCTCGCCTTGAAGGAGAAATATTCGAAATATATGGTAACGAGTCGAGTAACAACCGGTTGCGTCCGATGAAATCGCAACAGCAGGTGGGTTTTCATTAAAAATTAAAAACTCTCCTAATTATTAAAAACGATAATCGAATCCTATTATCTCACACCCCTATGAGATTAAATAATTACTGTAGCAATTTTTTAATACGTCTGTATGCGATAGCGTATTGTTCATTTCCCTCTGCTTCCCCTTTTTGTTATCATATTTGCATTGTATTAATAACAAAGCGTACGCTACGTAAATTGTCTTAACCGAAATCGTATCGATTCAACGAAGACCGTAAATAAACAAACGACATATCCTCAATTTGTCTCGAAACAATCGAATGCGTGCGTAGCCTACGTTGGATATATGCACAGAAAGGGAACATTCATCAAGTCTGTCGGATCCAAATTAAATTTCACTAAACAAAACGCCGAACAATGACATGCAGATGGTAAAATCAAATCATAAAGCCAAAGCGGTTCTTAATTAGAAACGCGAATGGTGTATCACGATCGGAAATAATATTAACATTTTTTAGCGTAAATAAATTTCTCTCTAGGTATACAAAACGAATTAAAATAAAGATCGCCTAATTGGGCGAACTTTGCGCCCCCTGGAAATGTTCGAATTTCCATCCGAAATCCAATTAAACCCTATTCAATAACGATTCCAATCAACGGGGCTAATAAACCCGCGCCACTCGAGAAACAATCTTTGCGCGATTTCGACTTTTTAGATAGGGACTCGGCTGGAGTTTAATGTTTAATATTCATGCGATAAGTAATTGTTATTTCGTTGGGCTAACACTTAAGACGGCGCCCGGATCCCTCACTCTAACCTCCGTAATAACTAATAAAGGAGCTGATGAGGCAGAAAATGTCCCTTGTTTCATAAAGATCCCCCGAAACATTTATTGCTAGTATAATCGATTAGGGTCGAAAAACATAATGGCGCTTGTATGTATTGAATTATATAAGGTGTAGTTAAAATTGTCATTGTTCTAGATCCGCAATTCGCCCCCTAATAATCCAAAACGTGCTACCTAGTAAATCAAAGTGCTTGTGGTGGTCTAATCAAATATATAACTCGAGAATCAACGACCATAAAGAATAAGATATAACTATCGTACCGAAATTAATATCGAGACGGTGACAAATCCTACCCGGAGGGAAAATCGTCCATGCGGAAATAACTATTATTGTGCAAAAACAGAATCTGATTCGGGAAAATTCTCGAGCCATATTATACCAATAAATTGACTCCGTTTTCGTTAGAATTAATTCATTTAATACTAGTAGTATACACATTTTATGATTCCTCTATAAACCACATATTTGCATTAGGCTTATTCCTCTTCAAATCTCTCAATTTATTTCAATATTTCTATTTTTATCTTATTAATTAGTGACTTTTTTAAGCCTCACTATTTCGCTACAAACATTCTTTCTATATTAATGAAATTTACTTTTTACTTTACTTATTCAATTTACTAATATCTGCTCGAGTCCTTTCCTGTTCGCTTACACCGATACACTTCTCGAACATCATATACCCCGCAATAATTGGCTAATTAATTTTCCTAAATGAGCCTCACGGACGTCCGTGCACAAATCAAGCTAAGCTTCTTCCACGCTCTTCTTCTGCTTCATCCACTGCTGAATTTCCAATATTTTTTTTTGTACGGGCCATAACCATAAATCGACGCTTATAAAGTGGGCACACTAACTGTCGAACTCGATGCGAATTTTGATTCGGCAAAAAATATTTTCATTGTCGAAATGTCGGGAGTTTATCGGTCTCGCGTCGTAAACTGTTGGTGAAAATTGTAATTTTATGCCGTTGGGTTGAGCTCGGGTGAAGTCTTCATAGAAATTTAAATATAATTTTTGAATAGTTCAAACGGTTTGTATGGTTTCTAATAATACGTACGCTATTAATTGGCTCTTTGACGAATTCATTGTTATATTTTAACCAACAATACCTACACGAATATTTCTCTAATATAAACACTCGATATGTATACGCACGGTAATAACGCCCTATTGTACCTAAATTAGATGAATACATCTCCTCATGTTAATAAAATACTCCACCATCAGGCCTTTGTTGTAATTTCACCTCATTCACAAAGCATTCTCGCCAACCAATTTGAATATTTTAACGTCGCTTCTGCGTCGTACGACAATCGAGAGTAATATCGTAGAAACGTTTTAATATTTCCCTGCGTCCGATAATTAAAATATCGTTTTTGCAAATTGAATAATGGATACGTTACATGGAAATTCCTACCCTCTTTTCAAACATTCAAACGTTCCAATTTCGAATATAGCGAAATCTGCGAAACACTCAAAACCGAGCATCACTTTGGTAAATTAAAATGTTCCCTCTGCCTAGAGCGACGAGCGCACCAAAAAAATTCGCAACTACAATATCTATCAAGGAAATTGCATCTCGATACCTACCTACGTCTGATTGCCTTGCGAAAAACGAACTTCACATATAAATTCCGATATTGAAATGAAATTGAAATTCTGCGAGAGGTAGTTCGAAATGAAATTGGCAGCTCATAATTCGAAATCGCGCGTTAAGAGCCGTGGAAGACAAGCAAGAAAGCCCCCATGCCAGCGTTCAAACTTCCATGAATAGAGCTAATAGTTTCTGCTGACTAGTAACGCAGTATCCCTCAAAATCTCTTGTTTGTACTGCTTACAAATACTGTAATCTGCTCGTAAGTTGGTAAACACATTAGTCGACTCTGTAATTAATGTACACGTTTTACTGGCGCATCGATTTTAACGTTTCGAATCGTATACACGTTTCTGTTGAGAGTTGTTCGTTGGTTATTAATTAGTAATTGTTTAATCCAAATTGAATACGAGTCGACAACGAGTTTGTTATTAGTGTAACAAGTAGGTACTGGAGAGTGAAAAAAATGAACCTTTTTCTGCCTCTTTTCGACCCTCATTAATTAGACGTGTGGTCTACAAGGGTGGCACTTGACACGGTTTACACGGTCGTCTTAATTGAGGGAAAAACCTCGCGCCGAACGCTTTGTGTTAACGAATCCTTAGCGGGATTTTCAAGGGGATAATTGAAAGGGAAAGTGAAAAATTCCGCAAGGGATCCGAGGTTTGTGATTAAGACTCATTTCGATCGAAAGCTGACCGATGTGGAAATCAAATTTAAGATAAAACAAATACGATCACGTAGATTCCATTAATTTCGTTTATCTCCCGGACTACGTTTTTACGTTTAAGCTCCCCCTAATTACTGCACAAATATTCCAGACGTTCTCGCAAGTTCCATAAACAACTGGAAAGCATTCGGCGATGTTCACTCTTTTTTTATTCGAGTCTACTTTGCTAAATAAATAGCTCTGCGAGTGGACCATAACGTCGGTTTTATTATATCCGGAGTTAATTAGAAAATACTTTTTGAATGTCGGGGCTTCGGGGTTAAGAGTCGGAAAAATCCGCCGCGGCGACGATATGAAATTTAATATTCCGCATAGTATAGTTGTACGAACCAATACGGGAAATTTTAGATGCATTCCATTTCGAATTCAATTAAAAGCAAACAAAACTCTTATCCGTACCTAACAAAAAGGTTCTATCTATTTTTTTCCTCGAGTACATAGCATGTTATAGATGGATCTATTAATGGAATCGAATTTGTAATACCATCAAACGTCGACGATCCGCTGCAGCTTAACATCAATAGTACGAGCTTTGCGCAAATACTTATCGGGCATAATACGGCCATATATTTGTTTAACTAATCCCCTTATTGGCGGCATGCAAAAGTTATAAGCTTCCCATCTAACAAGGTCAATACTCCGTTTGATGCGGAGCTTATCGAGAAAATTGGAAAAAGCCGTTGGTGTATAGATTCCAACAAGCACTTATGCAAAGTAACTGCGTCTAGATGTGTCGCCAATAGGGCAAGGGCGGATTCAACGTCCCTAAAAAGGAGCAAAATATTTTTTTATATACCTAAACGCACGTTTAAAATTATTAGTTGCTATTTAAAAAGAATTCTTTATTCAAAATATACCTACTATTATTAGATATTGTTGGTTAAGTATCTCCTGAAGCCCTTCCTAGCACAAACTTTTCTTGAAACTCCCACTTGAAATTTTTACTATAGTTTAATTTGCCTAACAGATTTAATGTCGAGAGTAATAATTGCTAAGTTCAATTACAATATTATCCTAAATTTTTATTTTATTCCGAAACTCCTGCGAGACGAAATCTCCTACAGCTATGAGTAGGGATTTACTCTAAAGTTATATACTCGTGAAGGCGAGCATTGAAAATTGCCGATTATAGGAAGCTAAGCAGCATATAAATATGTTTGAGCCGTCGGGAAATTGCCTTTTCTCGATAGTTTTCCGCCGAACGAAAGCGTCTTCGCCTCTTCGGCACGGTGTACGATTAACTGTAATTTAAATTCCCTTTTTAATGGTAATGGAAAACTTCCATGGGTATACTCGCGTTGGTAATGCGGAGTATATAATTAAAATGTAAAAATTAGGTATAATATAGGATGTATGAAAAATAACGCTTCAGTTTTTTTAGGTTTTTTTTGCTTTCAGGAGGTTCTAATCACACCAAAAAATTCATAAAATCGCATTCAATAAATGTCACGAAAACAATAACTATTACAAATTTAAATACAATATTTTTCACTTAAATTAGTTAGTCAATTAGTAAATTAGTACTCCTAATCACTGCAATATTGCCCAAGTTCTGACCTAGTGCATCCTTTTTCACAACATTCTTCGACTATTCCTGCTCTTCGGCGTTCTTTATTGGGCAGCAGAGATAGGCCGTATGATTTCCCTATGAATGGATAGGAAGAGTCATCATCAAAACTATCGGATACACCGTTCATGTAGTCGAGGTCATAGTTGAATATATTAGTCTTAGCTGTGGGAAGAAAAAATAAAATTTAAATTTAAAACTGACTCCAACCGACTTTGAAGCAAAAGTATAATATTATAAATCATATATTTCTAGTGCGAATTGTATTGTTTTGATTATAACTTCGGGGTTAAATAGATTTTTGTGATTAAACTTTAGTGATTTATTTGATTGTTTTAGTTTTTAGTATTCTTAGTTTAGTAATTCTTATAGTGTTCTTCTTAGTTTAGTAAGTTCTTGTTTGTTATAGTGATGTTCTGGAACAATTAAGCAGCTTTCAACAACAAAATAGGTGAGATAATATTCCTTTCGAGTTTAAAGTTTATTTTCTTCCATTGTTTGAAAAACCCTGTTTACTTTTATAATTTATCCATGATTTTAAAAAATTAGAGGGGTCGATGGGTTTCAACCGATGTACAGGACCACATTTCTTTGAAATATTTTTAATATTTCAATTTTTGTTTATTATAATTTTTCTAGAAAAATTAAATCTGCGAATCGGTCTCAAATTATGCAAACTACCACCCCTAGAATTTAGTGCCATAAGTACAAGAACACCCTGTATTGCATGGAAGAAAATACTCCATAATTGAGGAGAAGAAGAGCAATTTCATTATGCATTAGCCAGTTGGTTCTATTCTAATTAAAAGGTCCCTAATTAATTTATCTGTATTGTAGGACTTAAAAAAGCGTGCATAAAAAATTATGTGTATAAAGAATGATACTTACGAAAGGTTCTTGTTTCTCTATGAAGCAAATGAGCGCGATTTTGACACTCCAATGTAATCGCTCTTATTATATTTTTACCACAGTACTTTACGGGTACATCAGCCATTCTAAGAGTTGAATCCATATTACCACTCATACCGCTCATACGAGCATAATCTCGAGCGTTTAAGCTTTCTATACAGTAAATGTTTAGTACTACGAGCAATATTATGTTCGAAAAATTCATCTGAAAAATAACAGCTTTAAACTTACAATACATGTAATAAAACTTTTGATCAGGCTCACCTTACACCTAAACTAAATCACTAGCTGCTGTACACTCAACAATGCGGCACCAGGGGCACTATTTTATAGGTGTCCGTAGTTTTGTTTACCTCCACGCATTGCATCTATTTTTGAACAATTTCGCTGCGAAATTTAAAATCCTGTCTAAAATTCACGCCTCATTAGTTATCAATGAATATTAATTACATCCAAACAGGGATGGCGTTTAGAAATTCAGTCTTTTTCTCAAGATATAAGTTAATTGTTTCATCATAAAATAAAAAAAATAGTTGAGATAAAACAGAAAGATAAAGTATTCTTCGTGAATGAATATTTTTGAGTTGTTATTATGATGATTATCAGTAGGCATACCTATAGAGCTTTTCTGAAGCCGTTACTGATTGAAATCTGGGAAAATTAAGGAAACTCGACCTTCCCACTTGGTTGATCCAGGTTTAAAGGATAATCTACCTAGATGTTCAAGGTTAAGATGTCATCTTTTGTTAGTAGTTATCTAATAAAATTGTTATCGAGTTTAGTGTGGGAAAGGTCTAAATTTATAAAAGTGGTAATGATGTAAAGTAGATAATTATTTATTTTTATTTGTCCACAATTTATTGACATTTCGGATTTTCTACACCCACATGGTAAATAACCACATTGGAATTCAATTTTATACATAATTACTTTGTATTAATATCTTAAGAGGTAGCTACGGATACGATAATCTCCAAAGTTTAAGTATGCCCCGAACGCTGAGCAGTTTCCCTCTTTAATTATCTAATAAGTATGCCGAATCCTGCGTAATTAATTTGGAATATCATGTTTTCGAGTGCACTCCACTGAGCATCTAAGATTTAATGCCGAAATAATTAGCGATAAATTTGCAACAGGAGGATTTAATGGAAATCTACGGCGGTTTTTATCGCAACCTTTTTTTCCCCGAACGAAATGTCACCGAAATTAATTAGCGAAATAACGGGAGAATTTCGAAATACCCGCGCGCGTCTTCGTTTTTTGTTTCCGAATAACGTAGAATATTCGCCGAATATCAAACGAAACTCATAAGTGGATTAGAACCGGAATAATTTCAAAAGAATAACACAAAGCGAGTGTGTGAGATGAAGCATACGGAAATCCTCATCCATTTTTCATCGTATCGAAAACGTTGCAGCGTAGTTAAACATGCAAATACCTGTAAAACATAAAGCTAAAGTATTCATTTATTCCTTTTTCTTTTTTCAATTCGGCTTTCTCGTAAAATATGAGAGAATCATTCAATCGAAATATGGTGTACTTTTTTATAATATAACGTTAAGATTAAACGTCTTGGGGGTAGGTATAAAAATCGAAAAAGTCCGCAGTGTCTTCTTGGAACTATTACTGCAGCGTCTGCAGCATTACAGCTGCAGTCAATACACAACATTATAACGCCGGTCGTACGATAAATCGTTAGGTATTCCAGGCGCATTGGCCAAACATTTCGACTGGATTAGGTTAGGCGACACTCGTTATGTTTTTATTTATTTTTATTTTATTGGAGCCGAAGGATAGAGGTACATAACTTCTGTGCTCAGTAAGGTGAAGTTAAACAAAATACTCGTTGATTATTTAAATTTTTAATGCGACGCTACTGATATTATCATTTCCATTCCTTAATACCAATTTCGAAGAACTTTATCGCTTCCTTAACGCCCGACAAGTGTTTCTTATTGAGTCCATAGACGTCTGCGATTTCATAAAAACTGCACAACTTCGCTGTATCTCTATCTCCCATATCGAAAAGTTAGATATACACAGACGCCATACTGAATAAGCAATTTTATTTTCATATAGGGCGGAGGAAATCAAATCAACCTGATTCGAAGCGTGACTAGGATATTATCGGTTGATCTGTCTTTCGTCGCCCGTCTCGGGTCCCTCAAGTCCTCGCGCGTCGGGCAGGAAATTCGAAGAGACGCAGATGCGTTTTATTTTTCGGCAACTCTTTTGTTTTCTTTCGTATGAATAAAACAATTTGGCATTAGATTCGAGCAATGCTTTAGGTGTATTTGTTGCCCGCCACTCCTAAGGAGCAACGGGATATCGGCGTACGTGGAAACGAATTTATGACGAGGATTTGCGGCGGAGTGTAGTTACTTGAAAAAATGGAGAACGTTTTGATATGATTCTGGGTCCCGCGTGAACCTAGCACCCCCATTATCAAAAAAATAAAAAATCATAAATCATAATTTAGTGCTATTTTAGGGCTAATTTAGTGTCCACTTCCTAATTTTAGTGCTCGTCTGGTTGAGCAGAAAATTGCGATTGAAAATGGCGGTGCTAAGTTTTTAAAGCTAGCACCACCACATTTAAATATTTAAACAAAATTAAAAAATAATATATTGGAATTTAGTGCTATTTTAGTGCTTTCGAATGAACTACTCAGAATTTCATTTGAGATATTAATCTTAAAGATACTTGATAAAAACGTATATAGAAAAACAGATAAACATAGAAAAAATACATTTAAACATAGTAATAGGGAAACGATTTTGATCTCTAATTTTTCAATGATTTTAGTGCTTTTAAAGTAGTTAATGTCAGATTTTAGTGCTCAACCCTTAAACCCAAAAAATCTCATTTTTACTATTTTGTATAGTCTGACCTCTAAGAGTAAAGTGTCATTAAAAATATAGATAGAAAAATGATTTTTGTTTCATATTCTTTGTTCATTTTAGTGCTTTTAAGATAGCTAAAGTCAGATTTTAGTGCTCAACCCTTAAACCCAAAAAATCACATTTTTACTATTTTGTAGTCTGACATCCAAGAGTAAAGTATCATTAAAAATATAGATAGAAAAAGGTTTAAGGGTTTAAGGGTTTAAGGGTTGAACACTACAATTTGGCGTTAACTACTTTAAAAGCACTAAAATCATTGAAACATTAGAGATCGAAATCGTTTCCCTATTACTATATTTAAATGTATTCTTTCTATGTTTATCTGTTTTTCTATTGACTCCAATACGTTTTTATCAAGTATCATTAAGATTAATACCTTAAATGAAATTCTGAGTAGTGCATTCGAAAGCACTAAAATAGCACTAAATTCCGATATATTATTTTTTAATTTTGTTTAAATATTTAAATGTGGGGGTGCTAGCTTTATAAACTTAGCACCGCCATTTTCGATCGCAATTTTCTGCTCAACCAGACGAGCCCTAAAATTAGGAAGTGGGCACTAAATTAGCACTAAAATAGCAGTAAATTATGATGTATGATTTTTTATTTTTTTTGATGGTGGGGGTGCTAGGTTCACGCGGGTGATTCTGGGAATGTATAAGATGGTTGAAAATACATTTCAATCAAACGAAAGATCCATACGTGAAACCGCCGTTTCTAAAACTATTAAATTAGCTTCCTCAGCGACAAAAGCACCCCCTAAACCAAAACGTCACGACCACATCGGAATTGGGCCAAGCGACAGGCACAAAGCACAAATTGCAATTCTAGTCAATTCCACGTTGTGACGACTTCAAAGGGCCCGAATGTAAATTTCAATTACTTGTTAATAATGATTTGGCAATTGTTTGCTTGACCGGTTACGAGGTTGGGGACCACGAGGCTTCGGGTGTATACACTTTCGGACATCTTAAAGGGCCACCGGACTAGCGCAATAACTTCGAACTAGCTCAATGAGGGAACGAATTTACCAAAGGCGGGGAAGCCATTTATTGTCATTTTCAATTCAATTTAAGAATAATCAAATCATCACACAATCTTAACTTAATACCAATCAATAATCGCCTTATACAACTAAAATTTGTTGACATTTCATTACCCTTTCAAATTTTATTGCTTATGATGTTTTAATTGTAATAAACATCTACGCCGCTGTAGCTATTTCATTTTAAGCACTTCGGTCGCAAGGGTGACTGTTGAGGGTTGTCGGTGGCTTCTTCCTCTAAGACAAAGGGCCGATGGCTCGAGCCCCACGTCGCCGGGTGACCACAGGATGATGGAGGTGTTTACGCCGACGTCAACGTGAGCACATGATTAGTAAGCAGACCGTTTATAATTAATGCCTTTGGTATCTAATCCGGAGAACTTCTTGACTTAACTAGCCGGATGCAGGGATTTCATTAAGGAGGGGCCCGCGAAGGAGGACCGGGCGAACGGTATAACGTCGTTCATTAATCCGAAATATTTTTCTCGTATTCGCCGGTGCTCGAACATTTCCCGGTTATGACGGGCTGGAATCGGAGAGGAGCTCGGTCCGCCGGGAATCGGGAAATATTTGAACGAGAGCTTTATTGAGGGATCTGTTTGTTTAAAGATCGGGAAATGAGAGTAAGATTGCCGGGAAAACAAACAGGAATCGCCGGTAACATCGAGCGCACTTAAAAAAGTAAGAAGAGCTCCGCAAACAACGAATCGGTCAACGGTTAAGTAATTGGGATTTCCGTTTTACGTACATAAAACCATCCTCGAGGTTCGTTTCATTTATTTTTTAAGGGTATTTTAAAGTAGGTTTTACCGAGGGGAAGACTTTTATGAGCGTAACTAGACTTTACGAGTAAATAAATATAGCTAGTTCACATACTCTCTTCTAACTTACTTTGCAAATAATACTTAATCCCATTCGATTTACCCCAATTATATCTACAGATATAAAAAAAAGAATAAATAGACTGTTCATGAATAAAAAATCTACGTCCCTTTGTTGGGCTGGTGCATTGTCTTTGGCCTTAATCGAATTACCATTCTACCAGAGACAATCCCGAGGTCCAAAAATTAATTCTTTCACAAACAAAAGATTCGAAGACACAAAAAAACCTTTGTTCGACATTTCGGAGGTGCCTTATGATCTCATCCGAAATGAAAAAAACGTTCCCGTTAATTCGAATGGATAGCCCCGAGGTAGAAGGCCTGTGCGAGTTTCTCCCAGGAGCGTATCCAGGAAAATGATATCGCCATGATATAAGTGTAGATTAATAATTTCGTATAATTACCTACCTATTTTTTTAATAATTTTGTGTGTTGAGGTTTTGGTGTATAAATTTGAAGGCT